CCAAATTGTTTTGGTCATGGTGTTACATACATCCCAGCAATAGTAACCCTAGCTAAGACCCATGGTTTGTAAGAAAGTTACATGTGTGTTTTAATCTTTCCTCCTCTATGGGTGAAAAAAAAATTACCCCTTAGGTTTCTTTCAAGATATCGTCTTTATCTTTGATTTTCCAGATGTTTGGGAAATAATGTTCTAGTGTGCCGTGCGCATTCACTCTGCTTGCTGTGTTCCCTGTTCTTTCTGTGCCTCTTATTTAACATCTGTCACTAACCTGGGGACACCTAACCATTTCTTTAAATATTTTTCTGTTCTCCATTCTTTTGATATCTTTGTTTCCCCTCTGTAGTCAGGCAATTCTTGGACCTTCTCTTTTCCTCCTTCCTCCTCTTCCTCCTGTTCCTCCTCCTCTTCCTCTTCTTCTTTACTTTGCTTTTTTCAGTTTGGGAGGTTTCTGCTGAGATAACTGTAGGTTTGGAGGTTCTTTCTTCTCTTGGGACTAGTCTAAAAAGCTGGTGCAAGGCAAGGCATTCTGTCTTTCTGTTACAGTGTGCTGTTTGCCAGCAGAGACACGTCTGGTCCTTCACTGGAAGTGTTTGATGTGTCACTTGGCTTTTCTCGCCTACTGTCTATTCTTTCAAATTCCTGAGCTAACCCCATCATCTCAGTTGTATCTGAGTCTGGTTCAAATGCTTGTTGAGTCTCTTTGAATTGTGGTTTTGACCTGTAATGATCTTGATAGTTGGATATGATACGGGGGTAAAATGAATTTCCATATGTAGTTGTTCAATAACTTGGTGGTCGATGGGGAAGGAGGGATGTTCTGTAGTTCTGTGGTTAACTCTTAAACTTGTAGAGAGCCTGAGCCTCCATATGTCTAATTTACCCATAATCCTCAGCCCTACCTCCACAGGGAGGGACTGACTAGCAGGAGTGGGCAAGAACCAGGCCCTTACAGTTTCCTGTGTGGACGGCTAAACACACTGAAGGCTAAAGGGGCTGTGGTTGGATATTTCCTTTCCCCAAAATCATTAGGCTTGGGAAAACTCCTAACAGATTGGACCTGGTTAAATTGTTTCTCTTAAGAGAAGACCTTACAATGAACAAATGTTGTTTTCATTGACTAGTCCTCTGAGATTTGTTTTTTCAAAGTCCAGCTAAATTTTAAAATTTTCTTTTAGTTTACCTATTTCTGATCTGATCATTTTGTGTCCTTGTTTCTCTCAGACTGTGTCTGTGTTTCCAGGTTCTAAGTGGACAGTTCTAGCTAGTGGATTTGCATTCTGAAGATTCAGTCCCCTGTGCTTCATGTAGTTGAGCCTTAAAGGATTTCCCCAAGTTTTTGTTATTGCTGCTGTTGTCTGTCTGTGAGTTAGTTCATTGTAGTACTGGCATGTACTAGGCAAACATTCTGTCACAGAGCTAAATCCCTAACCTCCTGCTCTTTAATTTACTTTTTGTTTTTGAGACTTGTTTCTTGTTAAGTTACCCAGGCTGGCCTCAAACTTACCCGGTAGTCTAGGCAGGCTTTGAACTTGGGATCTTCCTGCTTCAGTGTTGAGATTATTGGCCTACACTACTAGGTCTGCCACTATTTTTGACTATATATTTGTTTTTTTCTTTATTGGATTATAGGGTTAGATAGAAGAACAGTAAACTGGGGGCCTTCTGGACATGAGACTACAATCTCTGTGCCTCCTATTAGGTACCTCTGGAAGTGGGGTGGCATTGTGTAGCATCAAGTAACCATTTAAATACGAGCAGAGCCTCAATCACAAAGCTTTGGTTTATATTCTTTCTTCTCTGCCAAGCATCTTAACCCAGAAAAGTGTTGATTTTACAAAGTGACAAGGTTACTTGATGACTTTGTTCAAGTATGATGAACTGATGAGCCTTTGAGAGATTCTGAAGTGTGTGACATTAACAGGTAACTTGTTTGTGTCTTTGCTTTCTTTATCATCATGGAGGCCATACTCATTCATATTGTCGCACGCCAAGGACTTGTCCTTCAGCGTCTTCACATAGACCTAAGACCACCTTAGAGCATTTCCTTTTCTTCCCTTTGAGTTGGCCGGGGGTAGAAGAACCGCTTGACGGAGGGAAGTGGTGGCACCTCTAAAGGGTTAACGAGTAAACAGCCATTAAGCTTTGACACTATGGCAAAGACCCAATGTTTACCCCAGTGAAGCAGCTGATAACACTTCTGAAGAAAAAGCCAGTGCTTAGAACTGCATTCTGCATGTCCCAATTAAACAGAAATGACATTTATCTTAATGCTGCCAATGTTGCTTCTACATTCCCCTGGGCTCTAAACTATCTTATTTGATAGATATGGCCTGGATTATGAGTTGGCTCGTGTAGGACAGAAGTCTCTCTGTGACTGCTGATTTCCAAAACCTCAAGAGAAGGCTTGATCATGTTCTGAACCCTCTGAGCGCAGAGCCAATGCTTGGGTGACCAAGTTAGCTTCTCAGCTGTAGTATAAATTTCTGCACTGCAGAAATTTTACAAAGACAAGATTTTTTTTTAAAAAAAAAAACTATTTCATAACATGTAGCTTCCAGAAGAGCCACATTAACCTCTGCTTGCTTGATTCTGAATGGATGTAACACAGCAGAATACAGATTAAAAAGACCCGCACTTTGGTTTCTATAATGAGAAGCAATCAGCATTAAGATGATATCATGGTAGGAAGGTGAAGTATGCCGGGAATCCAAACTTTATGCTAATTACCTTAAGTCTCCCTTGTTCGTTCTTCATTTGCCTTTAAGGGATCAGATATTTCTGAAATACTCATGAGAAAATCTGATCATCTGTGGTAGCACACCAACCTTTAAATCGTGGGCACTTGTCTATGCTTTGATACAGTAAACATAATTTCTGCCTTCCAAGCCTTTTTACTTGGGACAGAAGATAGAGGTGAACCCTTCACCACTGAGCTCCAGCCCAGCCCAGCCCAGCGCAACCCTGCTGCCCAAGCTTGGCCTTAAAGATTTCCCTTCCTTGTTTTATTATAGCCCTCCTCTTCCTCTCTCTCTTGCCACACACACACACACACACACACACACACACACACACACACACGGAGCATTTGTTTATTCTTACATACACTAGTAACTCATGTACTGATGATACTCTTACTGTGGGCATTCTCTTTTAAGGTATCCTTATCCATTTAAAATGAAAAGGTTGGCTTGAAATGACCTCTTAGGAGCCCAGCCCCAACCCACTCATTTCCACTTGCCTGGAGCTTGATGCTTTGCATAGCTTCCAAAGTGTGAGGTGTCTAGACTCCTGCGAAGGATTGGAACCATGTCTCAAAGAGGAGAAGGTCAAAGGGATGATGGGGCAGGCAGGGAAATAAGGATAGAGTTCCTCAGTCTAGAGTCCTTTCACTGAACATATGAGCTGTTGAGCTGGAGGGGCACCCTGAAGTAGAGTGCGGTGACCATAGCTGGAATGGTGAATATACCTTTGGGTAGCAATTAAGCCAGACACTGTAATATTATTCAAGGCTCAGAAATGGACCAGCTTACTTTTTATTTACTGGGGAAATAATTGAAAACGTCCTCCATGTGCTTATATTGATTTGTAATGTATTCAATATTCTGTCTAACTCTACAACTGGCATTCCAGGGTGGCTGAAAATGCCTTTTAGGCCAAGCTGGGACTGTGAGCCCCTTGCTCTGTGTGTGTCTAGGCAAATGGGCACAAACTAAGAAGTGAGCCTTCTGTCTTCCATCAAAACACAGCTCGTGTTCCTTTTTCCTCTCTCAGATTTAAGAATAAAGCACACATCAGTGGAATCCACCTAATTGTCCATCAATAGACAAATGGATAATGAAAATTAAATATATAAGCTACATTTACATATAGAAATGCTACTCAGGTCTACAGAAAAATGAAAGCACAAAATTCATAGGAAAATGGATAGACTTAGAATGTATAATATTAAGCAAGCTCCACAATCTTGGAATAACAACTTCATGCTCTCTTTGTATACAGAACTAGCCGACGGTGTATGTGTATGTGTAAACAAATGGACATGTGGGCGAAGTATACCATGAAGGAAACAAGAAAGGCAAATCTAAGGGCGTCAAGATGAGTGAACGCAGGTTATGGCCACCAGTTATGAGCGGATAGCAGGCTAATTGTTTGCTCAGTTCTAACTCGGTCATGACTTTAGAGTGTAGATAAGTGTTTAAAATGTGTTCAATAGTGAAAGAATAAGATCCATTATGAAGCTACAAAGCTTCTATTCCAAAATAGCTACCTGTCTTGAGTTGTATAGTCTTTTGCGGTCTGGTTAATTTTCGTACATGATATTTTTATTTATAACTTTTTAAATATATAAGAAAATCTAAAATTAAAAATGAATATAGGAGAGAAAAATAGCTGGGCATGGTGGTACATATAATCCCTGGAGCCAGAGAAAGGGAGAACTCTGAATTCAAGGACAGCCTGGTTTACATAGTAAGACGTTTCAAAAATAAAAATATAAATAAATAAATGGCAATCATAACAGAACTAACTAAGGAGGGAGTGGGGAAAACAGGGTTTTCAGCCCAGACCTAGAATACAAACGGTTTAACATGAAGCACCTACTACATGTTCATGTTGGGAGACAACATTAGCCGTGTTAGACCACAGCACAGTGAACTCTGCACTGTCCTGGTGGTGAGCAGACAGGGTGCACTGAGCATGCGGGAGAGACTAATGGGAACACAGTGCGTCTGGCCACCTGCACTGTCTCTGTTCAGGGTCTCATGTTTCCTCCAGGAAGCACACCTCTCAGGGAGTTGCTTCGTTTTCCTCCAAGGCACCTCACAGGTTCGAAGGCCAGTGAACCTTAGCCAGCCCTCACCCCTTTTCACACCAAGTTTATTATCTAATGTTGTCTGCTGTCATCTACGTGAGTCTTGATTCACAATAACAGTCAAATGATTTCCTGTATCTTTCTTTTTTAGCTTTAATGTTGGGGGTTGTCAGCCTGTAACACGAAAATGCTGCTGATTTTGATCCTGACAATGGCTTGTTTCCATGTTTGTGTGAGCCAAGATTCTGGTAAGATATGGAATTGTTTCCTTGCATTATTTTGTATACACATATATACTCAATGTTAGTCAATGGGTGGAGGCCGTTTAAGTTATGGTATTAGCTTCACATTGCTTGATTTCAATGGCAGTAAGGATGTGGGGGCGAGGTTTTATCTTTTTTTGTTTCCTCATATCTGGAAATCCCAAGCTGCTGATAAAATATATGAAAGCTGTCATCTGTCCTTAATTCAGTCTACTCTAGATCTCTTTGGAAAACTCAGTCTTTAATTGTCTTGATTGCAAATGCTGCTTTGGCTGAGAGTGTAGATTCTGCAGCAGCTGCAGTGTCTTGGACTGACCGCTGCTTCTAAAGGCATCCATGTGTTTACCCTGGAGAGAGAGCTCCTAGTACTGGATGTCAGGGTTGTGGTCAGGAACTCACGTGAAACAGCCCTGCTTAAGTTGGTGCGTGGGGGCCAGCTCACATCCAGAACCACCTACACCGACTTTATAACTTTCTCTAGGATTGTGACCTTGAAATGAGCTTAGTGGAGATAAGCCAGACTTTGCCCCTTAAAATATCATTCGATGTCTCTCTGAGCCTTAAGCTTTGGAGGAAGGGTCCATCTCCACCCCCGCCCCACAATTACGTGGCTTAGACATGAAGAAGGACCTGGAACTGTCGCTTTGCTAATCAGCCAAATGCCTTTCCCACACAAAATAGAGGAGCTTCTGCATGAGTAGAAAGGCCACTGATGGTCATACAGCAAGCCACCCTCAACAGGGTTCTCTGGACTGGGTACTCAACCTTCCCTTGAAGAAGGTCCGGACTGGCCCCTCTGCTCATTTTCTCCCAAATGTTGCTGGCTGTGTGGTAAAGGGTAGAATCTCAGATTGCTGGGCGTGAGGTCACTTAAAGTACTAGAAAGGACCGATTGATTTGGTCAGATACTCACAGAGACCGAATGATGGAGGCCAGGGCTAGTTTCCTAGCAGTGGGGGGAAAAAAAAACAACTCAAAACCCAGGAACTATTATGACTTGTGATAGCCATTTATCTAGTAACCAAATGTGATGAGATCTTAAAGCGAGGAGATAGCCTGGCCATTTGCTAATCAAACCTCCTTATTTTAAAATAGAGGAGATTGCGGCTCCTGCATAGTGTCTGACTTGATAATGCTCGTAGAAATAGCTGGTGATAGGCAGGCTTCCCTGTCACTCGATCCAACTGCACTGCATTTTCTCAGATAACGTGCACACAAATACGCATGGTTTCTCTATCTGCCTTCATGATAAAGTAGTGCAAGTTCAGGGACCAGACAAGCAGCCATGAGGAAATGAAGCAAGTATGGAATCTCTCATTTTCTGTAAAATAAATATTTAGTTCCAGAGACTATCACAGTGATAGATACATGCCTGTAACTCATGGGAGGTGCTGGCAGGAAATCAAGATTTCAAAGCCAGTCTGGGATAATGATACTATGTCATTCATGCATATATATATACATACATACATATATATATATATGTATACATGTGTGTGTATAATATATATAATACACATAATCTACATGCTATTTATATGTATTCAATTATATATTATAATGACAGCACACGATATATATGTGTGTGTACTATATATATGTGCTAAGTCCTATACAACTAGCAAATTGTTAATGGTTCGAAAAGGTTTTTATATTCCAAAATAAGATATGTTTTTAATTGAAACCAAGATTATAGTCTCATTTCTTACCTCAAATTCTTTGCTGCCATTATATTTTGCATATGTGTAAATAAATGTATCAATCATAATGCTCATTCAATGACTTGCTGAATATATTATAGCTAACTTTTCCACAGAGTAAGTTAATCCTGTGTATTTGTGATGTCTTACACTTCATCAATTCAGCACTTTATAGTACAAAAATGATGTTTACAAATCAAGTAGGTAAGCTAAGGCATTGGTTAAATGCGAATTGGAATGCAAGACTTTAGGTTTCATCGCTCAAACCAATTTGGAGAAATCAGATTTGATGAAAACTTTCAGTGTGGGTGTGTGTCCCAATTCTGTAAAAAGAACAGGGGAAATTGCCCATTAAGACAACACCTCTGCCTTTTTATTTTGCTAAATTTACACATTCCCAATTTGCTAATTCTTTGCAAAATGATGTTTATTGTTGCAAAACTTTGCCATATGAAGTTGTACAAAGCACTCACACCATGAACTAAACCCTTCTTCTTCCTGAGAGATTGTGGGATGTTGATTCGTTCACAAAGGTACTGAAACAAAATTCAAAGATGAAACCAAGTTTCTGTTCACACACACACACACACACACACAGTTGGCATTAAATATGGAAAACAATTTCTAAAATTTTTGCTGTGTTTCTGACTTTATAGATCCCGAGTATGCAGATGTGGTGTTTCTGGTGGACAGCTCAGATCACCTAGGGATGAAGTCCTTCCTTCTTGTGAGAACTTTCCTTACCAAGCTGATCAGCAGCCTCCCCATAGAGGCCGACAAGTACCGTGTGGCCCTGGCCCAGTACAGCGATGCTCTCCACAACGAGTTCCAGCTGGGCACCTTCAAGAACAGGAACCCCATGCTAAACCACCTGAAGAAGAACTTCCAGTTCATCGGTGGGTCCCTGAAGATAGGGAACGCCCTGCAAGAGGCCCACAGGACCTATTTCTCTGCCCCCACAAACGGAAGAGACAAGAAACTGTTCCCCCCGATCCTGGTGGTGCTGGCTTCATCCGAGTCTGAGGATGATGTGGAAGAGGCTTCAAAGGCCCTGAGGGAAAATGGGGTGAAGATCATCTCAGTGGGGGTACAGAAGGCTTCTGAGGAAAACCTGAAGGCCATGGCCACATCCCAGTTCCATTTCAACCTCAGGACGGTCAGAGACCTCAGTGCATTTGCCCCAAACATGACAGAGATCATCAAGGACGTAACTAAGTATAAGGAAGGAATGGCTGATGACATTACCGTAGAAGGTGGGTGTCCTGATTTGCTTTCTGTTGTTGTGATAAAACACTGACCAAAAGCAATGTGGGGAGAAGGGGCTTATTTTAGTTGACAGGCTTGGGGTCCATTGTGGAGGGATGCCAAGATGAATATTCAGTCAAGAACTGAAGCAGAGGCCATAGAGGGACGCTGCTTGCTAGGCCTGCTCTCTTATGTACTCCCACTTGCTTAGGGATGGTGCTGCCCGCAGTGGGTTGAGCCCTCCTACATCACTTATAAATCAAGAAAATGCTTCATAGGCATGCCAACAGGTCAATCTGATAGAGGCGGTTTTTCTTCTAAGTGTGTCAAATTGATAACAAAATTTAATCAAGACAGTGGGTTGAGGCTGTATGCATAGGACCAATGTCAAAATGATTTTGAAAAAAATCAGTGTAGGAGAAGGATTAAAATTCTGTGAATACCCTTTTTCTCCAATAGGTGGTATTTTCAGGTATTGAATATCTCTGTATGTTCAAGAAGATCTAGTGATTGTGGCTATTTTTAAAAAAACTAATAAATCCCACAGGGATTGGTTTTCTATGACTTATTTAGCCCCAGACTAGAATTTAAAATGTTTGCAGCACCCTCTCCTTGCCACCTAGATTCCCACTGAGACACCTTCCTAGCTTGTTCTTGCTGTGGTTTTATTGCTGGTTCACTAAAAACAAATTTGCTCCTGGAGAAACCTTCAGCTTCTGGGACCACATAATGAAAAAATGGCAAGGCGCTAAAGCCAGCCTTTGATGATCCAAATCTGTTCTGAAGCAAAGAACTAAAATAATATGGTCTGCCCCAGTGCCAGGCAGCCTTGTGTAGCCAGAGCTGGATCAAGTCTCCTGGTTCCAGTCAGGTAGCATACACTCACACTGCCTATTCTGCTGTTTGATTCTGAATTAGCTTCTGAGTTCTTTACAGTCTGTCCTCTTGGTTAAATCAGTTTGAGATGACCTATTGAAGATACAGAATGCTTATAAAATATGAATCTTTACTACTAGTGCCTTTCCCAAATAATTGACAATGCAAGTGTACTCATTCTCATTTCTTAGACTTGAGCTGTTGAGTATAATGAAGGCGACACTTAAATGTTTTTCATTTAATAGCTAGTCTTCATTAAATGACTTTTCTGTGCCAGTCTCCATGCTGAATATATTATTTCATACCCTGTATCTCATTTTTAAAGCTGGGACCTGGCCCCTGTCATCTCAGCCTCACAATCATGCCATGCCTTCTTTGAGTACACAGATGAGTTCTAGTGTATGTTCTGCATGTCCTGTGAAGTCCCAACCCTCCTGTATAACTGTACTCATTCATTCCTTTCCCCACACAGCTTGCCAAGGCCCTTCTGTGGCTGATGTCGTGTTTCTGTTGGACATGGCCATTAATGGCAGCCAGGAGAACCTTGACCATCTGAAAGCATTCCTGGAGGAAAGTGTCTCTGCCCTTGACATTAAGGAAAATTGCATGAGGGTAGGCCTCGTGGCCTACAGCAATGAGACGAGGGTGATCAATTCGCTGAGCAAGGGTATCAATAAGACAGAGATCTTGCAGCACATACAGGACCTGTCTCCCCGCACAGGGCAGGCCTACACTGGGAATGCCCTCAGAAAGACCAGGAAGGAAGTCTTCAGCACACAGAGGGGCAGTCGGAAGAACCAAGGGGTGCCTCAGATTGCCGTACTGGTGACCCACAGAGCGTCAGAGGACAACGTGACCAAGGCAGCTGTCAACCTCCGGCGTGAGGGAGTGACCATCTTTACCATGGGCATAGAAGGGGCCAGCCAAGATCAACTGGAGAAGATTGCATCCCACCCCGCAGAGCAGTTCGCCTCCAAACTGAGCAACTTCTCCGAGCTGGCCACCCACAACCAGACGTTCCTGAAGAAGCTGCGGAACCAAATCACACACACGGTCTCTGTCCTCTCAGAGCGGACTGAAACCCTCAAATCTGGTAAAGCCTCACTGAGACAAGGCCGTTCTAGAGGCTTCTTTATTCTCACCTTCTGTGTGTTGTCTGTACAGAAGGGACTTGGGGGTTCTGAGGTGGGTGGGCAAACACATCTCTAATTTTAAGTTTAGTTGGGTTCTAGGAAGTCCAGCTTGGGGGACACTAAAATCTACTGCAGTGTGACTGTGGGGAAGGGAATGTCCTCTTTGGCATGGCTTTAACTGGGCTGGTTCTTTCACTATGTCCTGGATCATCATTTTCTTCTCCGTCCCTTTTGCTGATTTGCATTCTTACCTGACCAGTTCCCTTATCTTTCCTGTACTGCGTTCTTATTTCCTTTCTCTTCCTTTAACCCCAAGGCCAAATTAGAGAATAAATGGTCAACATGACTTATGTGGAAGACAAATTAATAAGTAACAATCTATTGCCTGCAAATTAAGAGAGAGAAGGGACTGTATGTTTGCATGTGCATGATATTTGTTTTATACATATGTACATATGTACTCATGGGTGCTATATAAGTATTTTCATATCTGTGTATATGTAAACATATTTGTATATATTATGCAAGGATTATTTATAGCTTCCTTACAGTATCACTGTGTCTCAGACTCAAGGTCATTGACAACATCCCTAGTGGGTCTCAGGACTAGGAGAGTGTAGAAAGTAAATAGTTTCTTCTAGATTGTAGGAAAGAGAAGTCATACGCTCACAGTGCTGTGTTACACACCATCTATTCCACAGTCGATCATTTTCCTGTGAGTGTGACTTACTAATGGAGAAAAGCAACTTGCAGAGAGCAGCTTCTAGTTTTCCTATACCTATAGCTATCTTTATCCATGGCAGAGAATCAGGGTTATAGTCTCACTGTCTGAAGCAACTCATTTCACCCAACTGATGCTGAGCCCTATCCCAAGCTGGGAAAGCAGGTCTTTGATGCTGAGAAGCTACTCCCGTCTTTCTTCTGTAGGTGTTTATCCTTTCTTTCTGCACTCCTTTCTCTCCTTTCTCTTTTCCGTTTGCCCTGAATGCTACATTCAATGTTTTGGTTCTGTTTGGTTCTGTTTTAGCCTGTGTGGACACAGAAGAAGCGGATATCTATCTGCTCATTGATGGTTCAGGGAACACCCAGCCCACAGACTTCCATGAAATGAAGACCTTCCTGTCAGACGTGGTGGCCATGTTCAACATTGCTCCCCACAAGGTACGGGTCGGAGCCGTGCAGTACGCCGACACCTGGGACTTGGAATTTGAGATCAGTAAATACACCAGCAAGCCTGACTTGGGAAAAGCCATTGAGAACATCAGGCAGATGGGCGGGAACACCAACACAGGTGCAGCCCTGAACTTCACCCTGAAGCTGTTGCAGAAAGCCAAGAAGCAGCGAGGAAACAAAGTGCCATGTCACCTTGTCATTCTGACGAATGGCATGTCCCAGGATAGTGTCCTGGAACCTGCGCACAGGCTGAGAGAGGAAAACATCCGAGTCCATGCTATCGGAGTAAAGGAAGCCAACCAAACACAGCTGCGGGAGATAGCAGGAGAGGAAAAGCGAGTTTACTACGTGCATGAGTTCGATGCCCTGAGGGACATAAGGAACGAGGTGGTTCAAGAGATCTGTGCTGAAGAAGGTAGGAGATGATGCAGCTTAGCCTTCAGACAGCAGTTCACAAAGGGACACTGTTAGTCGGGGGCGACATGCATTTTTACGTTGAGATTATTGCCCTGTATGATTATATTTTCTCTCCAGAACAAAGCAAAACCCCATGGTAGTGTAAGTTGGTATCTGATGACTGACAGAGGTGTTTGGAGGGATTCTTTCTAGTGAAGCCCTAGCAGGATGTACGAGTAGGTGCCATGTGTATAATCCAATCAAAGACGTTCCGAAGGAAAGGGGCATGGCCGTCTGATTGACATCTCATTTTATAAACGAACTTGTATGAATTTCTTTGAAGCGCTGTATCAGTGGCTTCCACTCAGGGTTTTTACTCTCTGAGGCTATTTGGTGACTTGTAGATACATTTTTTTTGTGTGTCCTAAGTAGGGAGCTTTCTTAGCATCCACAGAATGGATGAAGCAAAGGTATTTGCTAGCCATTTTATAGATCGATATTCAGAGCACTACTACAGTAAATATGACCTGGCCCCAGTGGTGCTGATGTTGAGATACTTCATTACTAAGGAACAGAATAGCCTTGTGATGCTTTGTTTTCCTGTCTTCGTGAGGCACACACCAAGCTTGAACATAGAATTATTTGTGACTTGGGTTTTCCTATGCACTCTTAATTTTTATGTTCAGTGATGCAAATAAACATCCCAGTTTCTCCCACACAGCCTGCAGAGACATGAAAGCAGACATCATGTTTCTGGTGGACAGTTCTGGCAGCATAGGACCTGAAAACTTCAGCAAGATGAAGACGTTTATGAAGAACCTGGTGAGCAAATCCCAGATTGGGGCGGACCGGGTGCAAATTGGTGTGGTCCAGTTCAGCCACGAAAACAAGGAGGAGTTCCAGCTCAACACGTTCATGACCCAAAGTGACATTTCCAGTGCCATCGACCAAATGACTCACATTGGAGAAACAACATTGACAGGCAGTGCCCTGAGCTTTGTGTCCCAGTACTTCAGCCCCAGCAAGGGGGCCCGGCCCAATGTCAGAAAGTTCCTCATTCTCATCACGGACGGTGAGGCTCAGGACCTAGTTAGGGAACCAGCAGCGGCACTTCGGAGAGACGGCGTGATTATCTACTCAGTGGGCGTATTTGGCTCCAACGTCACCCAGCTCGAGGAGATCAGTGGGAAACAAGAGATGGTTTTCTATGTTGAGAACTTTGACATTCTGCAGCATATTGAAGATGACCTTGTTCTGGGAATCTGCAGTCCCCGTGAAGGTAAACATGGGCACAGTCACAACAGGGGGGGCTAAACAGAGTTGTATTCGAATGCTATAAGTTTCATAATTGAAATGTTTGATTTAGTGCCTTTGAGCTTTTGAGTTAAATGATAGAGCCTGGGTATGGTGGTTCATGCCTGTAATCCCAGTATACAAGCTGAGACAGGAAAATGGCCATGAGTTCAAGGCTAGTCTGGAATACAGGGTAAGACCTTGGCTCAATGCTCCACTGCTCCCCAAAGGAAAATAAATCCATAAAGGAATGGTTTTGGCCTACCTAGTTTTCCCATTTGCAGATAAATAATAGTCCTAATGTGACTTACTCCCTTAAGAAAAGTGATGTTACCAGGTCTTATGTCAGGGTCCCTGGAAAGAGTGGGTTTGTCAAGAGCTCTTGTGGAAGGGGTCTACTGAGGAAGTACTTCCAGGACGGATAGAAGGAAGGCAAAAACAGAGAAGAGGTGGGACCTCTACAAGGCAGTCACTCTAGCTGAGCCTAGTTTCAGCACAAGCCCATGAACAATGTTAGAGCATGAATCCTGAAACAGTTGGCCCAGCTTCCTGATGAGGGGCCCAGTCTTATATGTCTTGTGCCATTAGACCACATGAAGGCTGCTGAGGCAGGGGTAGAGGAACATAACCTCCTGATTAGAAAGACATGTTTAGCTTAGCATCTGTTTGATCAAATGAAAAGTTTTTTTAAACTCTATGAAACCTTACAAAACATGGCTGTAGTTAGTGAACCTCAGCAATAGAATCTTCCAGAGAAGTAAATGGCAGGCTGCCCACTCTTCCTGCAACACTGCAGAATAATGGAAGCAGGCAAACCAAAGCTCCAGGGAGAAGATGCTGCTCAGTGGTAGAGCTCTCTCAAGGTCATGGACTGAACCCCAGCCTCTCACCTTCCCCCCAAAACAAATTAACAGAAGACCAGCAAACATAGGCAGTCACATTGTTCTTGACCCCTGGATTTAATGATAGAAGCATTCTGAAAATTCACTCTGAAAAATATGTATTTTCATACTTTTAAGGGAGAAAAGACATTGTCTTGTTATTCTAGCAATGGGTATGTTCAGCTCCCATTGTAGGGTTTGGTGGTAGTTATCTGTGTTTGGTAGAAGAGGGACTACATCTGGTTCCTGTTCCCTGGCAATGCCATCCATAATACGTACAAGTTCTTTGAAGGGCTCCAATGCTGAGCAAACATCCTCCCGAGTTCCTGAGTAAGCCAAGCCATCTTCACAGCCAGCAGACAGCTGGAGGGACCCAGTTTTCCTCAGCGGGGTCAGCCTTTCCTGGGAATTTGATTTTTTGGCTCCGTACACATGGCTCCGGTCAGTGTTGAGTACACTGGCTCTTGTGTTTTCAACAGTCCACCACATGACCCACAAAAGATGGAAATGTGGAAGCCAGCCAGGCACTGGGGGAGTTCTTTCTCCCAGGTCTTTTTCTCGAGAACGGATGAGCTAACATGCGTTTGGACAGCACTTTATCTAAGATTCAGGGAGAACATGTACTCTCAACATAAAGACCAAATGACTGTCTCAGGACTCCACTTCTCCAGAAAGGAGGAGATAACCACTAGAACTCACAGCTGGATGTGCTCCTTTAGATGAATTCGAAATTAGGTCTTTCCTGATCATCTTTGCTGTAGTGCTGACCTCAGGCTTAACAAGTTCACCAGAGTGTCATGTTAGGACAACGTGCTTGAGCTAAATGAGAACTGGCCTCCTTTTTATGATGTGTCCTAATAGTAGAAATAAATATTTCAAGAAAGTCAAAAAGGAAGAAAATGTGGGCTTAGAAATCAGCCAACATAGAACCATGATAAAAAAATGTAGCGCTGTTAAATTCTTTCTGTTGTTGTTTTGTCTTTTCCCCAAGGGATGCCAATAGCTTCTCAAGATCCTTATAACTTAAAAATAAGCTTGTATAAATAAAAGCATATGGGAAAGGGATCATTTATATGGGAAAATCTATACAGAGTTATAATTTTCCATTTTTTAGTCTAATGGTTGAGATTCTACTCCTGATACTTTGGGATGGCCACTCGAGCTCCTCCTCCTATGGTATAGGCTTCACTCCACACTCCTTGTTCTGAAAGCTCACCTGAGTACAGATAGCACAGCAGGTATCTTTGTTATCCAGAGAGTTGACCATCTGTGTGTTCCTGAAGACAACACCAGCCATGTAAATGGAAATTGGGGAACTTCCCACGGTGAATCTCAAATGGTTTTCTATCTTTCTTTCTTTCTTTTTTTCTTTTCAGAATGCAAACGGATTGAAGTTTTGGATGTTGTGTTTGTCATCGATAGCTCTGGTAGCATTGACTATCAAGAATACAACATCATGAAGGACTTTATGATCGGCCTGGTAAGAAAAGCTGACGTGGGTAAAAATCAGGTCCGGTTTGGAGCTCTCAAGTATGCTGATAACCCGGAAGTGCTGTTTTATCTGGGTGACCTAGGCACAAAGTTGGAGGTGATTTCAGCGCTCCAGAATGACCAGCCCATGGGGGGCAACACTTACACTGCTGAGGCCCTGGCCTTCTCCGATCACATGTTCACTGAAGCCCGGGGCAGCCGTCTGCACAAGGGGGTCCCCCAAGTCCTTATTGTGATCACCGATGGAGAATCTCATGATGCAGAGAAACTCAATGCCACCGCCAAGGCCCTGAGGGACAAAGGCATTCTTGTCCTGGCAGTGGGGATTGCTGGTGCCAATAGCTGGGAGCTGTTAGCCATGGCAGGCTCAAGTGACAAGTACTACTTCGTAGAGACGTTTGGAGGCCTAAAAGGGATATTTTCCGACGTATCAGCCAGTGTCTGTAACTCTTCAAAAGTCGGTAAGGCCTGTCAACTGAGTTTTTCCCAATTATTAAAAATAGGACCACATGAGTGAGACACCAACCCGTCACACTTGAGAACAAGTTTTCTAGGGAGGAGAGAAGGAACCGAAATCATGAAGTGGTTTTCCTACTTTACAGAATCTGAGTCTGACAGTGCTTCAAGGTACTTCATTTGTCCTCGTCCTCAAGTGAAAACCATTTGAAAACACTGTTTCCTCCCCCCTGGGCTCTTCTGACACTCGGAACTCTGCTGTTTTTGAAAAGATTCTCTTTATTAGAACATAGGTTTACTTAGGTGTCTTTTTTCCCCCTTTTAAAAAAAATTTCTTTTTTTAAAAAAAGAAAAACTTTTTTCATTTTACATACCTATCCCAATTACCACTCCCTTCCCTCCTCCCATTTCCCACCTCCCCCCCCCCCCCCAAACCCCATCCCCTATCCACTCCTCAGAGAGGGTAAGACACATTGCTCTGAGGAAAGACTACTATATCTGGGCTGAGCAAGGTGTCCATCCAAAGAGAATAGGTTCCAACAAAAGCCAGTACAAGCTGTAGGGATAAATCCTGGTGCTACTGCCAGTGGTCCCTCAGTCTGCCCCAACCATACAACTGTCACCCACATTCAGGGGTCTAGTTTGATTCTATGCTGGTTCCTTCCCTGTCTGACCAGAGGTGATAGGCTCCCATTAGCTGTTTCAGTGGGTGTCCCCATCATGGTCTTGACCTCTTTGCTCATATTCTCATTCTTCCCACTCTTCAGCTGGACTTTGGGAGCTCAGTCCAGTGCTCCAATGTGGGTCTCTGCCTCTGTTTCCGTTAGTTGCTGAATGAAGGTTCTATGGTGACATTTAAGGTAGTCATCAATCTGACTACAGGGCAAGGCCAGTTCAGGCACCCTCTAAACTATTGCTTAGGGTCTTAGCTGGGGTCATCCTTGTGGATTCCTGGGGATTTCTCTAGTGCCAGGTTTCTTGCTAGCCCCATAATGGCTCCCTCAATCAAGATCTCTCTTTTCTTGTTCTCTTCTCTGTCCTTCCCCCATCTTGACTATCCTTTTCCTCAAGGTATTCTCCCCCACCCCTTCTCCCTTCATCCTCTTCTTCTGCCCTCCCTTCTCCCCTAACCACCATACTCCCAATTTTCTCAGGAGTTCTTGTCTATTTTCCCTTCCCAGGGGAACCTATATGTGTTTCTTTTAGGGTTCACCTTGTTACTTAGCTTCTCTAGGGTCATGGACTATAGGCTCGTTATCCTTTGCTTTACAGCTAGTATCTACTTAAGAGTGAGTACATGCCATGTTCATCTTTCTGGGTCTGGGTTACCTCACTCAGGATGGTCTTTTTCTAGGCCAACTCTGCCTTCTTGGAAGGGCAATCATCCATTGCCTGAAGTCATTTTTACCTCAGGCCAAATATCCTTGGTTTCTTTTTGGATTTGTTTATGGTCCAAGTTCATTGAAAAAATAGACTTGGGTATTAAGCACTTTAGTCCAGGCTCTGAGGGCTCTATGACAGAGAGCAGCCGGCTTCCCTTTGCCCATCTTTCCATTCTGGCAGCTAGAGGCCATGTGACTGTGTGCATGTGTGTGGTGTGTGTGTGTGTGTGTGTGGTGTGCACGCGCGCGTGCGTGCGTGTGTGCACGCTCATTCGTTGTTCACGCATTCAGCTGACATTTTGCATGTTTCATCTAACTAGACATGGTGCTGCATATCTTTAGTTCTAGTGTTTGGCAGGCCAAGGCAGTTTGAGGCCTTCCTAGGCTACATTCTTGAGTTCCAGGCTAGACCTGCTTTATCATGTGAGCTCATCTTTTCCTTCCCCCACCAAAAAAAAAAAAAAAAAAGCGTGAAAGAGAGCCTTAGCCTTTTTTCTAAGGCCTTTCACAGGAAGAGACGGAATTTGCTTTTCACAAAGGCAGACTAGTATTTGGAAAAACATAAAAGCAATTTTGTGCTCTAAAAAATAAATAATAAAGATGTTTTTATTAGAGGAATTTCTGTTGGTTCACAATTCCAACATGTGGGTACAGTTCTTTTTCAAAATTATTTAACTTTCCTGGTTTTGTTTGTTTGTTGTGAGATTTGCCTCCTTAAAATGTAGCCTCTAGCTTTTTTTCTGGAAAACTAGCAATCTTTCTGTTTGTTACTAGAAACGAGGACAAATCTTTATTTCCTTGATAGCAAATGCCTAAAATTTGGTCTGCCCTTTTATTCTCTATGGAAGTTGACAACTGCAATTTCGGACTGAAATGTCCCCGTCGGGAAAGGAAAGGAGAAAGGTGAGAAAGGAGAAAGGAAATGCGAATCTGAAGCAGAGTATAATGAGTTCATCCACTCCGGAAGGATCCGTATTCACCGTGCCTTCTTTTCTCTCATCTGTGGCAAAGCAGCCACCTTTTGCCTTTTCTGAGACCATACTGAGAGCTAGGTTGAGGCTGAGAAGATGGCTTAGAGAACACTTGCTACGCAAGCAGGAGAACATGGGTTCAACCCTCCAGCACCCATGTAAAAAGCTGGCTGTGCCTGTCAGCCTTGCTCCATGGGGGAACTGAGACATGAGGGGGTCACTGGGGCTCACTGGCTGTCAGCCTAGCTCCAGCTTCCCTGAGACCCTGTCTTAACGGATGAAGGTGGGGAGGATAAATCATAACAACTGATTCCCGTCTGGCCTTCATGCATGGCTGCACACACCTACATACTAATGTACATACACCCTACACACACTTACATATAATTTAAAAAATTAAGTTGGGTCAGTGTTGATAACCCTGGAAATTTGAGGAAGTGACAGGGCTTAGCAGAAAGCTAGCAGAGGCAGACGAGTGTGTGCTGGGCATAACCTATCTATTAGCAATGGCCTCTCTTGTTCTTTGTTTTGTATGTGTCACAATCATGCAATGGGATAATCTCTGACTATATTCCATTATGTGCTCAAAACCATTTTTTCTTAAGTTGATATTTTTGCCTACATACACCAGAGAGAGGAGGCTGATAGAAAAGTCAGACAGAGAGCAGAAAGCATGCTTTTTAAACAATTTGCCCTAATAAACCAGAAAAAAAAATTTATTGGATCAACTGGACCAGGGAGGCCAAGCTAATAATACTGACCATCTGCTTCTATTTGAATCTCTGTGCGAGCATGTGTTAATGTTGTTTGCTGTGCTACTACTGTCCCTGGCCTTCTTGGAAAGTGAGGCTGAGATCGCAGATGAGGAGAGAAGTCTTTGTATAGCACCGCTGTCGGTTCTCTGGCATGTCAAAACAGAAAATGGCGCAAGACCAAGCAGACAGAGCCAAGAGAAACACGGAATGGATGGGTTAGCAGTGCATGGCTCCTGCTGTCTTTATGAAAGGATCATTTGTATTTATTTATTCTCCAATTAATGTGACCACAGAGTAGCATGAGATAAGGAACCAATATGAAAATACTATTTCTGTAGAGCAACAGATGTCCAGTTGACTCCTGGCAGGTTAAAGAAGAGTCTCCTGGTCTTAACTCATTTCCTTTCCTCTCTGTAGATTGTGAAATCGAAAAGGTTGACCTCGTTTTCCTCATGGATGGGTCAAACAGCATCCATCCAAATGACTTCCAGAAGATGAAGGAGTTTCTGGCATCAGTTGTTCAAGACTTTGATGTCAGCCTCAACCGAGTGCGCATAGGAGTGGCCCAGTTCAGCGACAGCTACAGATCGGAGTTTCTGCTGGGGGCGTTCACGGGGGAGAAGGAGATCTCCTCCGAGATTGAGAGCATTCAGCAGATCTTTGGATACACCCGAATCGGAGACGCACTCAGGAAGGTGAGGCACTACTTCCGGCCAGACACGGGCAGCAGGATCAACGCAGGGACCCCTCAGGTGCTGTTGGTCCTCACAGATGGCCGGTCCCAAGACGAGGTGGCTCAGGCCGCTGAGGAGCTGAGACACAAAGGTGTGGACATCTACTCAGTGGGCATTGGTGACGTGGACGACCAGCAGCTGATCCAGATCACAGGGACAGCAGAGAAGAAACTGACGGTGCATAACTTCGACGAGCTGAAGAAGGTGAAGAAGAGGATCGTTCGCAACATCTGTACCTCAGGCGGTGAGAGCAGTAAGTATTGAGTTCTTCATTTTGATTTCCCCCGCCATCTTTGTTGACATTTTCCTCCAACTGTTTACCTCCCCTGGGCCTGCTGGGAGAATTTAGATTTGGGCCTCTGGATTTCAATTTGAACTTTTTCACAGCTATGAAGTATGTGTATTTTGTGAGCCGTGGAATGAGAAGCAGAGTGTTAGAGACCCTGAGTCTTCTATTCACAGTGTCTCCCAGAGGAAACATGACTCCTTTGTGAACAGAGATGCCTGGCTTCGGAAGGTGTGAGGGAGAGGCCATTGTTCACATTGTTCTGCTTTCAGAGGTTGCAGAATGTGTCACAGAGAAAATGAACTGCCTGATGGATTTTCGTTGCCTGGCAATAGGCCCACAGTGCCAGCAAAGCTCCCATGTAGAGAACATCTCTAGGTCTATACCTTTACTAGAAAAATTTACCACAGAGGTCAATAAATATCTTCTTTGGAATAGTTACATTTGGGGGCTGGAGAGTTGAATCAGGGGAGTGTTTCTATGCAATAATCATGAATTTGATCCCCAAGACCCATATAAGACACCCAGATGTGAGCCGGGCGGTGGTGGCGCACGCCTTTAATCCCAGCACTCGGGAGACAGAGGCAGGCGGATCTCTGTGAGTTCGAGGCCAGCCTGGTCTACAAGAGCTAGTTCCAGGACAGGAACCAAAAGCTACGGAGAAACCCTGTCTCGAAAAATCAAAAAAAAAAAAAAAAAAAAAAAAGACACCCAGATGTGGCGATATATAGCTGTAATCCCAGATCTGGAGAGACGGTGACAGGGGGATCCCTGGGACTTGCTGGAAAGTCAACCTAACCTAGTAAATTAGTTCCAGGCATTGTGAGACTCTATCCCAAAAATAAGTCTGTGGTACACAAGGGGTTGACACATGAGGTTGACATCTGGCCTCCAGGTACACATATCCATACACACTCAGGCACACATACAAGCACATGCATACATGCGCACACGCACGCACACACACACACACACACACACACACACACACACACAGAGAACATTATGACATTTTTATGGTAGGTTGAGTGTCTTGAAAGAATCGCTCTTCCTTTTCTTATGAATGACACCCTATGGATTGGTGATTACTCCATCCCAGTACCCCTGGTGAACATTAACCACAGACTTCAATCAAGGAAAGAAAAGCTACAGGCTCATTTAGAGACAGACACGACTTCAGGTCTCTGCTCCATGCCATCTTTTCTTGGACAAGTTGCTTCATTTTTTAAATGAGTTGAATGTTTTCTTTGTGGGATGTGACTGAGCAACACCAAGCTCATCTCCGTGCGGCTTATGTGAGAAAACGCATATTCACACCTGCCTCTCAACAAGCCTGCCACCTACCATGGGATCATCAAGTTCCTCTGTATCAGCCAGGGTTCCCTAGAGGAACAGAACTGCTAGAATGAATCTCTCTTTATATAGAAAGGGAATTCATTTGAGTGGTTTACAGGCTGGGGTCCAGCTAATCCAACAATGACTGTCTACTGGCAAATCCAAGAATCCAGCAGTTGTTCAGTCCACAGGCTGGGTGTCTCAGCTGGTCTCCAGGAGATGGCTTGGCTCCCAAAGAAAAAAGGCTCTAATGCCAGAGGAGGAATGGACTTTGCTAGCAAGGGTGAGAACAAGGAGGCTAAGAAAGAGAACACCCTTCTTCCCTGTCCCAGAAAGAGGCTGGACCACAGAGGTGTAGCCCAGATTAAAGGTGGTTCTTCCCATCTCAAAAGACTTGGACTAAAAGTAGATCTATCCATTTCAAATGATTTAATTAAGAAAAAATACTCACAGGTGTGTCTAGCAGCTTGGGTTTTAGTGAATTCCAGATGTAGTCACGTGGACAGCCAAGAATGGTCAAAGCACCCTCCATTTTTGCCTACCACTAACCCATTAAATGCATTCATAAGGGCTGGACATTCCCTTTAGTCACCTTTATTAAAAGACTGAGTCTCCTCTTAGTGATTAATATGCCTGCCCCACTGTAACTATAGAAACTTTAAGTTCCAGTCAAGGTTTTACTTTTCCAGCATGCTACAGGCTGCTCACCTGACACAAAAGACCAGGCCACACGTGGGCGACATTTCTCCCATTGTTCCTTTCCTTACCTTCCATACCACCCCTTCTGTTAGGCTTTGCCCTGCTACTTCTGCTAGTGTTGGTCTCTGGCCATTCTAGAATGGACTGGAGAGAAGAGAAGAGTGGGAGAAACAGAAGCATTTTGCTCAGAGGCACTTGGCAGGTGGCAGCCACTGGTTTTCTGGTAGCCCACACCTGAAGCTGGGTCCTGGGGTAGGAGCATCCTTGAAGTTCTTCCTTCCTCCTATCACCTGTAATCTTACTAAAGCCAAAAAAAGTTTAGGGGAATGTCTCAAATAGTGTTCCTTTGAGAAGATGTTGTGGAATAATCTCTTTGTACACTGTGAAGATTTGTCATTCGGACTAGGTTAATAAAAAGCTGAATGGCGAATAGCTAGACAGGATTTTTGGAGCAGGGAGGATTCTGGGAAGAAAAAAAAGTAGAGTTACCGGCAGACGCAGAGGAAACAGACATGCAGGAAAAGAGTCATGCAGCAGCACATAAATGAATAGAAATGGGTTAACTTAAGTTATAAGAGCTAGTTAGAAACAAGCCTAAGTGTAGGCAGAGACTGCTCATTCATTTCTCAGTGGCCCACACCCGAATAATAACATAGAAACTATACTAATTACAATACTGTTTGGCCAATAGCTTAGGCATACTTCTATCTAACTCTTATATTTTAAATTAACCCATTTCTATTATTCTGTATATCGCCATGAGGCTGTGGCCTACCAGTAAAGTTCTGGCTGGTGACTGGTATCTTTCTCCTTTGGCACCTACATGGCATCTCTCTGACTCTGCCTACTCTCTCTCTAAAGATCTCTGTTCAGATTTCCTGTCTGGCTTTACTCTACTAAGCCATTGGCCGAAGCAGCTTTTATTACACAAGGAGGTAGCCCTTTGTTTGTCCTTGCCTCCCGGCTAGCTTACACCCGAAATAACCACACAGAAACTATATTCATTAAAACACTGCTTGGCCATTAGCTCTAACTTCTTATTGGCTAACTCTTGCATCTTAATTTGACCCATTTCTATTAATCTGTGTATCGCCATGTGACTGTGGCTTACCAGCAAGATTCTAAACCAGTGTCTGTCTCAGGCAGGAGATCCATGGAGCCTCTCACTCTGCCCTCCTTCCCAGCATTCAGTTCTGTCTTCTCTGCCTACCTAAGTTCTGCCCTATCAGGCCCAAAGTAGTTTCTTTATTCATTAACCAATGAAAGCAAGACATGAACAGAAGAACCTCCTACACCAAGCTTCTTTAATAACCATTGGAAATAAAGCATATTCATCTCATACAGAAGGGATTCCCACATCATCTAAGCTATTGGCTGAGCTTTTATAATTAGTAAGTCTCCATTTGGTCATTTGGGAGCTGGCAGGTAGGACAGAAAAATTTGCATGCATACAAGAAGAGATAGGTATGTCTGGATTCAAGATTGTCCATATCCCTTCCTTAGCCCCTGAACATCTGGAGATGATTCTGGCTCTTTTTTTTTTCTGAGCGCTCCCTGCCCCTCCTCTTGAGTGGAGGGTGTGGGGATCCTGAAACAGTTCCTTTTACTGCTGGCTTCTACCAGTTCCTGAGGCCACAGCAGCAGGTCCAGAATGCACAGTCCTGGAAATGACTGCTCCTTTTTTTGCAGGAACCCTCGGGCTTGCTCTTTGAATTTCTAGGCTTAAGTTAACTTGAAACTGCTTTTTTGAGCCCCTTTCTCATGAATTAAAGGAGAAATTGCTTCTCTTTGTGTGTGGGAGAAAGCTCAGAATACATCAACAATTCTCTCCAAAAGTATTTTTCCAAGCTCCAGCCTCACACCTTTTACAAGAACCCAATGGGTAGGTCAAAGGTTGAAGGTCATGAAGTTGGTCAGGGGCCGCTGTCTTCCTGCATTTTGCTTTAGACACTGCTCTGACTTTGGAATGTGTCTGGTTATTCCAGCCAAGTCTTCTCCATTAATTTTCTATTTCACAAGAGATGCTCATTTTAAATTATTAGGTAGAAAATTATCTTCGAACACTCTAGTTTTTACTTGAGTGCATGAGAAAGTTTAAAAATGGGAATCTTAACTCCAAGTAGTGAGTTATTTTTTAAAGAAGCAGTTGCTATGCCAACGAGATGGCTCTGACAGGAGAGGCACTTGCCCCTAAACTGGCAACCCGAGCTCCATTCTGGAACCCACATGGCTCAAGGAGGGAAATGAGCCCTGCAAGTTGCCCTCTGACCTCACCCCCATGCAGGGCCCCATAAACAAATATCTTTAAAGCCTTTTTTTTTTTAAAGTAAGGAAACAAGCATGGATATGAAAAGACAAAGTGCTCTTAAGATAAACTTGAAGTCGTTAGCCCAGTAAACAAGAATGCAGGGCTTTGAAGTCATCCCATGAGCTGAGGGCTGATGAGGCTAGCATGGGCCCTGATAAGGCTTCAAAGGCATGCGCAAGGATGTTATGGGATGCCTGCTCTGAAATTATAGAATCCTCCAACCACAGAGGTCAGTCAGTAGTTTGGTGTGTTTTAAAGTTACCCAGGCTTCAATCTGGACATTTGCTTGGCTTGTTTTGGGGGTTTCAGTTTGGTGCTGGGTGCAGGGGATTGCCTTCATCCATGCTAGGCAAGTGCCACTGAGCTACACTCCAGCCTCGTGGTTCCTCTCCTCCATAAAACATGCTGAACGTTGGGACACAATTACTATTTGAGTCTTATTTTCCCCTTCATAAATCCTGGGCATGCTTAAGAGTCTCAAGGTGCACAATGATTCAAAATGGAAAACAAGGAGCAGCTGGTGGAAATGCCCCTCACAAGTAAAGTCTTTCCTCTTTCACCCAACAACTGAGCCCATTTTCTTTAGGACCACTGGTGCCTAATCTTATTAATGTACCTCAGCCTGCAACAGTGTCTTGATTCCCCGCCCCCCTGCCGATTTATTTATTGTGTGCATTTGAGGGTGGGGCACGTGTGCCACAGGCATGTGGAGGTCAGAGGACAACTTGGCAGGAGTCAGTTCTCTCCTTCGGCTATGTGGGTTGTGGGAATTGAACTTGGATCATCAGGCCTGGCAAAAGTACCTTTCCCACCTCCTCACTGGCCCCAAAACAGGATTTTTTTCATACTAAGAATATGCTACCATCAGCTCTAAATAAAGACCTTGACAAATAAAAGAATCAGATAATTAGAATCAGCTTTGGGGCCGGGCATGGCAGACAGGAGTATGACTATCCCATCAAATCTGCTCTTTTGTATTCTTAGTTGAAACATATAATCTCTTGGTTTTTGTGGTTAAGAAAAGTGACCCTAGTTTAATTCTTCATGACCTTTGAAAATCAACCTTATCCTGCCTAGTTTACTTCTCAAACTATCTCTGCCTCCCGTGAGTTTAGGTCGCCACTGGCAGATTCCCTTTGAAGCAAGCCTCCTCATGGAAGACTCCAGTTCCCCAAATTTCTCAGGCACAGATCTTTCTGGGCCAATCCATGAGAATTTTCTTGCCAGCTTCTCCTCATTCCCCATTGCACTTAGTCATGTGGCTGCTTGGCCTGGACTTGTTCAGCGAGTTCTGTTCCATTGATTATGATATTATGGAATCATTTGCCAATTTTGATTAAACATGAGGGACTTAGACTGTGTTTTTGGCATACTAGATGCCAGACACACACACACAATCTGAAAACTGCTGATTTAAGCAATGTATATAAACATTTTTTTTAGCTTTTTAATTTGTTTTTAACACCAAGTTCCATGTGTCTAGAAGGCAGGAAAAGGTTGGAGCGAGTTAAGCAGCTCAGACATTCTTGAAAGAAAAGCACGCGTACCATTAGAATTTTATCCTTCTCAAACTATCCGCCTTTAGGGAGTTCAGCTTAAAATATCAAGCCCATCCAAATGTCTTCGATGCTGAAACTTCCCAGGAGTTAATGAGATAACAACAAAGACCTTTAAATGCAGTACCACTCCAAGGCTCTAGAATCCCGAATGGCAGTGTCCTCCTGGCTCCCCAGACGGCTGACTCCTAAAGGCATGGACAAGTTGAATAACTGAATTGCCAGGTCTCTTCACCTGGAGGACTTAAGAAAGATCTCAACAGTTTTTCCTTCCTTCCCTCCTTCCCTCCTTCCCTCCCTTTTATATTGATTTCTTCTCTGGGTGGATGTTAAAGATGATCAAAATTGACTCGATGCTTCTAGAAAGATAAATGAGCCAAACTTTCCTGTGTGCTTTTTTTTTTTTTGCTTCTGAATGACTTTCTCTGTTCAAATGTTTTTACTTTTCTCTCTCTCCTATTATAATTTAATATTTGTCAATGACCTCAGTTGTTAAGTAGTGCTATCGGAATGTGTTTTAGATTACTGCCATTTCCACAAGATGCCTTAGAGTTACTTAAGGGATTGAATACATCACAATGTGTTTTTAATGGCTAGAATAGGATCCTTTAGCATTTTGGTTGTCGAAGAATCATCCAGATTCAATTCCAACTGAAAAAAAAAAAGTAGTCTTATTATCCTACAAGTCATTGAAGAATGAGTTTGTGGTTTTTCCCTGCTCCATGCTTTTCCTTGTTTTCCTACTTTCTACCTAGAATAGAAATTGGACGTCTTAGCCCCTAGAATCAGACGTGCGTCAGAATCACATTAGTGTGGTGGTAATCCTAACAAGAGACGCTTCCCCCTTGCATCCTAGATTGTTTTGTGGATGTGGTTGTTGGATTTGATATCTCAAGTCAGCAGAGGGGGCAGACTTTGCTCGAAGGTCAGCCTTGGATGGAGGCCTACCTCCAAGACATCTTAAGGGCCATCAGCTCCCTCAACGGGGTGAGCTGCGAGGTAGGCACCGAGACTCAGGTGAGCATCGCTTTTCAAGTGACAAACGCTGTGGAAAGATACCCCTCCAAGTTTGAGATCTACAGCGACAACATACTGAGCAGCCTGCAAGGTGTGACAGTGAACGGGCCGTCCCGCCTCAACACAAACCTGCTGAGCTCTCTGTGGGACACTTTCCAGAATAAGTCCGCCGCCCGAGGGAAGGTAAGATGGAGTTAGTTCGCATGTTGATATGCGGTTTTTCAGTAAACATTTTGCTAATTTTTCCCTCATTTTTCTAAAACCTTCCCTAGGTGGTCCTTCTGTTTTCAGACGGCATGGATGATGATACTGAAAAACTGGAACAGAAATCCGATGAACTCAGAAAGGAAGGTACTGAACTGGGGGAGGGGTAGGAAAGGGGTGAACTATTTTTACTTATTTTAGATAGGCTTTTATTTTGTAGCCAAGGCTAGCCTGGAGCATCTCATGTAACCCAAGTCGATCTCAAACTCAGGGCAGTCCTCTTCTTAATCACTTGAGTGTTGGGATGACAGGTACGAACCACTATGTCTGGCTGCTTATTCACTTTGTCATTTCAGAACTCAACTCCATTGTTTCCAGGTATGTTACTGACCCTGAATTTGGCAATCATGTCCCCTCGGAGCACTTGGATCTCTCATGCCTCTCATGGTCCATGTGTATAAAACAGCACACTGACCAGAGCTCTGCGCTTCACCTTCTTACTGTGTGTGTTCTTCGAGCCTTTCCTGGAGGCGGCTCCTTCCCATCTCCCCGCATGTTGTCAACATTGCTACTTCTGTCGCATGGCAGTGAACAGGAACAAGTGGCCAAGGAACACAAGTGCTGGATGGCTTCTGCCAGACACTAACCATTTCCAGACTTGCAAGCATTTTTTTGGACGAGTTTCCTTGTGTGCTGGGGTTTTGTAATTCTTTCCTTCGGACCGCAGAAGGACCAGCCTTGATGGTCATGCAGCCTCAAAGCACAGGAGCCACGCATTTAGCTTTTAGCACCAACAGCCCTCCTGACTTCTCTATTCAAGATATGGGGCAGTAGAGGCAAAAAGTAACCACATGTTCTGAATCAGGACCAGTTTCCCATATGTGGGCGCTGCTCTCACACCCACATATTCTTTGTTGGCAGGATCACCCACCTGCCAATCACTCAGAGCTGTATAGTCTCTGAAGAATTGCCATTGGGAGTTCCATCACCCAGAAAGCCACTTCCCTCTTTCTTGGGCAGTATGAGGAGCTGGGCCTTGGTGTGTGTCAAGTGACATGGAGGCTGTGATCTATGCTCCAGAACTCTCTGAGGTCAAGTCATAGCTGGGGTATTACTTGGGTACTGCCCTGTCCTTCACATCCTTTCTTCTGGGGACTTTTTAACATATTGTATGTATCCAAACCGTACATCAGGGTCTGCTTCCAGGGAGCCTGGTCTAGTACAGGGCCTGCCTATTGGGTTCACTAATGTGGGTTGGCCAGAAACTGTCTTTCCTGCTAAATTCTCTCCTTAACTTAAATTTCAGAGTTCTCTGGATTTACAGCTATACAGTAAAGGTTTTTATTTTACCCTTTATTTATATTTCTAAGGCTTCATTCTCTTTATTCTATCCAATCTTGGTCTTTGTTTCTGAGTTCTAAACAGATTTTCATTAGGATTAAGGATAAGACTTTGGGTCACCTAATTTGAGAGGACAGTTTTGTTGTAGATGAAGAGAGACAAGTTAAGTTATAAGAGCCAGCTAGAAATGAGCATAGATAAAGCCAGACATTCATAACTAACAATGAGTCCCATCTGAGCAGTGGTGGCATACGCCTTTAATCCCAGCACTCGGGAGGCAGAGGCAGGTGGATCTCTGTGAGTTCGAGGCCAGCCTGGTCTACAAGAGCTAGTCCCAGGACAGGAACCAAAAGCTAAGGCGAAACCCTGTCTCAAAAATAAAAAAAAAAAAGTCCCATGTCATGATTTGGGAGCTGATTGGTGGCCCCCCAAAAAGCCTGTTACATGCATAAACTTCAGAAGATATATATTCAGAAATATTTAGACTCTTTGATAAAGGAACAAAGGAATGGTGATGGTAGCATCCTCTTAAGAACATCATAAGACTCTCAAAATGGACAAGGAAGACCCTTGTCCCTGGCTTCCCAGATACTTCCACTGATGATACGCTGACCTAGGAGGCCGCTTTAGTTCAAGATCACATATCATACAGACTAGGCAGTCCTCATGCAACAGGAAGAGAGGAGAAAGTAATGACAGTGGGCGTGGCTCTGTAATTTATGCATGTAGACTGGGTTTGAGTTAGTTCATTACGATTTAAAAGTCAAATGCCCTAGAATTTCCTCAGGGGTTCTTTATTCTCACAACGTTTGGAGCTTTCTCTTTCTTGGCTCGTAGAAGACGTTATTAGGGAGGCTGTGGGACTCATTATTGAATGTGTCTGAAGGGAGGAGTACTGAACACTCCAGTTCTGAGAATGCTCATAAATAATAGTTCTGTGCATATTTCTGACATGTCACTATCCCATGGATCTCGTAATGCTCACATTTTGCATTTCCTGAATGTGTAAGGAAAAGCAGATGGGGAAAGACTTTCCTTTTCTGACTAGATCCAGAAGTTATAGTTGGAGCGCCAGTTCCTTATGAGGTCATTGGAAGCATCCATTTTATTATCTGTGTGTGTGTGTTAGTTTGTGTGTATCACATGTGTGCAGGGGTCTTCAGAGACCAGAAGAGGAGCCGGATTGATATGTGGTTTCAAGGCACCATGTGGGTTCCTGGAACCGAACCCAGATCCTCTGCAAGAGCAGCCAGTGATCTTAACTGCTGAGTCGTCTCTCCTGCCCATAAACACCCATTGTGTGTGTGTGCGTGTGTGTTTTGTTTTGCTTTTTTTTAAAAACAGAACTAAGGCTTGAACCTGGCCCATCACACATACTAAGCAAGTTCTCTGCCTGAAGGTTTTGTTTAAATATGCATTCGAGATCAGTAGATATGGATTAAGACCTAAAATCCTATATTTCTCTTTGGAATTGGTCATTTTCCTGTGCAATCTGTATTTTATTGAAAGATACTAGCCATTATGGGTATATATCTCAGGAAAGTCTGTATTTCTGAGATCTCCTAGGCAATTCTGACATTGTGGCCTTAAGAATCTTATACATAGGATAAAAACTGTAGGGCATTCACTTTTTGGATGCATGATTTCCTCTGTACTGTAGCAAGCGGTGTGGGCCTTTGGCTTACTCAGCGGCTCACTTCAGTAACGTTGTTGTGAAATCCTGTACACCTGCCCCTTCATCTCCAGTTTGAGTCTCTCAACGGTTGTGCTATTATTTGCTGGCATTGTGTCGTGGGGTTGACAGGTGTGGACAGCAGAAAGCAGCAGTTTGCCAAGGCTAGTCATTTAAATGACCCCAGCCTACTTCACCTGGAGAATATGTTGAACAGGCCTGAATGCCCTCATAACCATTGCTGTGGACGGAGCTGCCGATACCAGTGACCTGGCTGACCTTCTCTACATTGAATTTGGGAAAGGATTTGAGTACAGAACCCAGTTCACAATTGGTATGAGGAACCTTGGGAGCCAGCTGTCAAAGCAACTAGTAAGTTAACAGAGCAAAAGCTGGAGGGTTTGAGCAAATGTCCCACTTCTGGGCTGTAGTCTTACCCCTAATAGTTTAAGACTTCGGTTGTCTCATATGTCAGTTTAATATTGATGGATAAGGGTATGAACTAATACTGACCTTTTAAGTAAAGATGCGGTGGGCCTTTATGAATTCAGCCTAAATGAGAGCATGTTTGAAGTGTTCTATAATAGCGTAGCTCAAAAGCATGTTCAGCAGATGCACTTGGAACAAAGGAGGTAGCAAGAGGAAGAGCAAAGAGAAAAATAAGGAAATACTTAACCAGCACTGGCCGTACTGGCTGGATCACAACCTACGCGTGCTAGGACACTAAGATGAGCTTGAGTTATGAACAGGCCCGGGCTGTTCCCTCCACCAGCAGCTTCTCAGGTTCCGTGCAGCTCTGAGTGTCACAGTGATGAGTTATGAGCAGACCCCGGAGCCGTTCCTTCCACCAGCAGCTCCTCGGGTTCCATACAGCTCTGAACATCACAGTGTATGGTGACTCTAATGTTCAAGGTGCACTTTCCCTGCAGCCCAGCCTGTAAGTGACAGCCCACTGCATGTGGAGTTCAAGCAGAGCAAGAGCAGCCTGCGCTGAGTGTGGGGGAAGGGTGAGGGGTGCAGGACCTCCTGGGTGGACTTTCTGGGTGAGCGATTTCCTTAGGTTGTCTCCACACTGCCAGACCCTTGTGCTCTGCTCAGTTTTTACAACCTCATACCCAGATACGATGCATCCTCGCTATGTTATTTCAGAAATATACAAAGAATCAAGCCCAAGTGTGAGCATTACCAAGTCCAAGTCTGTAGCACGTTGCTGATTTCACTTTAATGAGTGGTTAATGGTTTAGAATTAATTTGTTTATAATTTATGGAATCCCTACTAAGTATATCAGAAAACTTTCCATAGAAGGGCTGTTTTCCCCCCCATGAAAATGAAGTATAGCATTTACTGCAAACTGAATTTTCCTAAATGAATCTGCTGGGCCAATTGTAAAACAAATAAATAAACATTGTGGTAGATATTCAGGAGATGTCGAAGCAAGTCCAGGGTGAAGTTCCCTCACGTTTTAAATATACAATAAGTTTGCTTTGGCCGTCACACAAAGGGAGCGTTCTTGTACTCATACCCTCTGTAGCAAATGCTTCTAAAATGCTGGCAAGCAGTTGACATTTCCAAAGTCCCATCAAACTCTCCTGGATGTTTCCAAGGGACTTGGTTCCAAGCAGTGTTTCGGAGTACACTGTTCAACTCCCTGACAAGCTGAGAGTTTACAAATGGAGCCAGGAGAAAGCAGCACGCATTCATTTTGCTGATCAAAGCATGTGGGCCAGGATAGGCAGAGTAGTCAACAATGAGCAAAGCCTAGGGGAAGGTAGCTGGGGCGATGGCTCAAGTTCAATTCCCAGCACCCACATGGCAGCTCACAGTTGTCTATAACTCAAGTTCCAGGGGATCTGACACCCTCACACCAATGCACATAAAAAATTAAACAAATTATTTAAAAAGTTGGGGTAAGGTATGTTGACAAGAAGCAACCCCATTGATCATTTCATGTGCAGTGAACTGGCCAAGGCTGAAATGAGACCATCTGCAGAAGTCAAACACTTTTGAGTTGGTCAGGAATTCCTTATAGGGAAAAGATGTCAGGACTTGAAGAAAAGGTAGAATCAGCCATCTTAGCCTTGACAAGGGATTGGGGAATCGATGACACTAAACATAATTATCCTTATGTTCCCCAAGATCAATGTTGCAGAAAGGACCTGCTGCTGTTTGCTCTGCAAGTGCACAGGAGGAGACGGCACCATGGGGGATCCGGGCTCAGCAGGGAGAAAGGTGACTTTACCTCAGACTTGTGGTTCCCATCATTTGGATTGCAGCAACCCTTTCAGATATGAGTTGGGGTAGACACAGAAAGATGTTACCTGCCATACCGAGCCCCTGGAGGAGGCAGACAATGATGCTACTCCTTCCCCATGTCAGATTAGATAGTTGCCATTTTCCTTGATCTTCTAAATTAGAGTTGTTTGGAAGTTCTTTGGGGGTTTTGGGGAGACATAGACATCAGGATCCTGGACAGGCCCAGTGTTCAAGCAGCAATAGCCATGCAGAAGAACCGAGTCATCCTCAGGCCGAGTGACGAAAGGTTCACACCAATAACTGACTTCCCTTTTTTAACCTTGGCAGTGACATCTGCCAAGTCTGCTGAAAGTCAAATTCGGGTCACTCTGCCATAGCAAAGGGTATGACAGTATTGACGTCCCCAGATGTATATGCTTATGTATCCTTGCATGAACATACTATTTCAGACATTACGATGTGTTCAAATATGTACAAACACACATTTAATGATTTCCATACTGCTACCTTACATCTGGGTTGGATATCTGGCCACCCTGCATAACAGTATGGCTCCCCTAGCACCAGAATCATGTTACTGAAGGAAGCTTTGGATTCATTATTTCTAGAATGCTTGGACTTCATAGAAGGAGAACGGCAGAATTTAAAAATGTATCAAAAAGCCAGAATAGAAGGAAATGTGTGTGGTCTGGTTTTCTATGTGTAGCAATAAGTCCTAAAAAGGAGAAAAAGTTATTTTGCTTAAAAGGATAATTTTGGTCTGTCAAGAACAAGTATATTTGCCTAGAGAGGAAAGCCAGTTCTGTTGGTATTCCTGGAGACAGCGAGAGACAGTGTGCTGGCACAGGTACGCACATGTGACGTGCACATGTACATACTCATGCATGCACATGCACAGCTACCACCCCACATATATACATGCACGTATTCATATACATGCATGTATTCATGCACTTCCATCTACATCCACAGCTCCCCCATGTATATATACATGCACAGATATGTACACATCCTTTTGAATATCTGGAGGCTTGTATGGTAATTCTCTTTTTGTTTGTGTAACCACCACTAGCTTGAGGTGGAAGGCCAGGGACATTTTCAAGCTCTTGCATTGCACATGAAGTCTGCCCTCAGAGTGGTGGATCTGCTCTGATGTCTCCCTGCCCAGTCTGTGGAGTGCTTATGTTTTCTCCTTTCCTTTTTTTTCCAGGGACCCCCAGGTTTTAAAGGCAGTGATGGCTACCTGGGAGAAGAGGGCATTGCTGTAAGTCACGACCTTTTACAGCTTACGTATTCCTACAAACCTAAAAGGGGAAACAAAGAGCAGTCTGAGGGTTCAGATGCAACATCTCAGTCTTTCCAGAGTCTCCTTGTGCTTGGTAACAAGTCTCCTTGTCGGTTATGACCATACCTCCTTGCTTTGACTTATCCACTTACACTGCACAGTGAATTGGGTGTGAAAGGTAACGTCTTCACCATAGGCACCGCATCCCTGCCATATGCCCAAGCCATTTTGTAAGAATTAAACCAACTCACCGCATCATTTATCAGGAGCCCTTCTCCCCTCGCGTCTCTCTCCCTTCCTTTCCTCTCTTTTCTTCCTTCCTTCTCCCCCTCTTTTCCTTCCATGTATCCAATCATGCATTCATCTGACAATACATATTGAAGCTTCTTACTATTTACTTCACTGTTTGCAAAGGACATTGATACACAAATACCTATATATGTGCTCCCCATGCGAGCATCCCGGAAACGAGAAAACCCTAGAAAACAAGCACAGATGGTCCTACGTTAGGGACCGTTCACACGGTGAGAAGACAAACAAGGTAACTGTCACACTGCTCTACACATGGCTGCGCAGAGGCAGGGGGAGGTAATGGTATTGAGCAAGACCAAGAATTTAATGGCTTAAAGACCACCAAGGGGAGGAAAAGGCTTCAAATGAGGGGTAAAAGTTAGGCAGATACTTGAAGGGTGACAGTGAGTTTCTCTGGGTAAAGCATTTGGGAGATTGCATTTCACTGTGAAGGGGAAGGGAGAACCGTGAGTTCAAGGACAACATGGAGTCCAAGGACTGAGAGTGGGCAGACTGGCACCTGCTCAGCATGGCTGGAACCCAGGACACGGCAGAAGTCCGCTGGAGAAGACGGGCTTGTGTCCAGATGATGGACACTGATGGTGAACATACGAGTGTGAATGATGGGGCTGGTCTACTCAGGCAGCATCATCGGTGATGCTCAGACCGAGGTCATAGGTCAAAGTCTTAAAGTCACAGGGACCCGGCAAAGAGTCCTGGAATCTTGGCTGAGGGCAGAATGAACACACATGTGACGGATGCTAAAAGGGAACAATGTGGTGGCCACCTGGGGAGAGGGAGGCTCCACCCAGGCAATAAGCAGGTGGCATCCAAAGCAAAGGACTGTCATCATTGTAGTTCTGATTTACTTCCATTCTTGAGTCCTGGCTGGAGTCCTGGAACGTAAAGTCATGAAGAGCCAGATGTTTTCTTAAAAATAAAACAAAACAAAAAAATTTGTCAAGTATCCCAGACAGATCCCAGATCATAAAAAGTACACACTCATCTGGATTTGTGCTTTTCCACTTTTCCTCAGGGAGAGAGAGGAGCCTCTGGACCAATGGGAGAACAAGGTACTAAAGGATGCTTTGGCAGCAAGGGGCCTAAGGTGAGGATTCTATAAGATCTCGTGACGTCATCTTGGTGGTTGATTGCATTTCCCATACTGATACTGCTGTCCTTTCTGTTATCAGGGAGCCAGAGGACTCAGTGGAGAAAAGGTACAGTGCCAGGCCCATGTAGTTCCCTCTCTCTCTCTCTCTCTCTCTCTCTCTCTCTCTCTTTCTTTCTGTACCAACCATTTCATTTAAGTTTTCTTTTTTTAATTTTTGAGATTATAATTCCAATATTTCTATCTTCCCTCTCCTTCCAAACCCTCTCATACCCCTCCTTTTTCCCTTTCAAATTCATGGCCACTTTTCCCCCCACTAACGGTTATTGCATGCATATATGTACATGCATATAAAAGCAACCTGCTCCGTCTATATAATGTTACTCATACATACGTTTTCAGGCTGGCCATTTGGTATTGGATAGCCGATCGATCACTGTGCTCTTCCCTGGGGAAGACTCTTTCTCCTGCTCAGCATCCCTTAGTTGATTGCAGTTCTTTGTGTAGGATTTGGGCCTTTCCCATCCACCTTGACATTTTTATTGTTGCTGCCCTTGTTTAGTTCATGTTTAGGAAGTCATATTGGTGAGGTTTTGGGAGAGTAGCTTCTGGCACTATGAGGAGACAGTCTCACAGCAAACTCCCTGATCTCCTAGCTCTTACGATCTTTCTTCGCCCTCTTCCACAATGTTCCCTGGGCCTTGAGGGCAGTGGTGTTTTGTAGATGTACCCATTAGGACTATGCTCAAAAACTCTGCATTTTGATTGATGTGGCTTTCTGTAGTGGCTTCTGTCTGCTGCAGGGAGAAGTTTCCTTGATGTGAGGGAAGGGTTAGGACTACACTTATCTGTGGTATAAGGACAAATGTTTAGATTGTTGTTAGAGAGTATGCTGTTGTAGGTTCCCTTCCAAGATCCATGACTTCACTAGCACTGAGTGGTTGGCTAGGTTTCGAGTACCATGTTTTCGCTCTTGCTGAGCAGTTATTACCAGTTAGAGAGTGGTTCGTTACTGCCAAGGTGGACATGACACGCTGTACCCTGTGGTTATTGTGCCATGTTGGTCATTGTGATTCATAAGCGTCCATAGCTGGGAAGGATGGCCGGCTGCCTCCCTTCTTTGGAAGCTTGCATGATGCCTTCTGATACCATGCAAGCTTGTCTTCAGGGAGGAGGCATCCAGGTCAGTTCCGGTTCCGGGGGTCTGGGGTCTGGGTCTGAAGTGCATGGTGTCTTCAGCAATAGGGACTTACCCGCCACCTCTCTGGGGCAGGTAAGTGAACAGGATAAGAACAATAGGCTGTATGTTTTGGGAGTTGTTTAGACAGCCCTGGCCAACAATCCAAAGGAGGGCCTCTTGGGTCTGCTATTGGGTTTTTTTTTTTTAGGTGGTCTTTGGCTCTTAGAGGAAGCATTGTCAGCCCAGATAAGAAAAGTTCATTAGAACTGTCTATATGTATTTATATGCTGAATTTACATATATTATAGGGTTTTAAGTAGATAATGACTCATTATAGATTTATCAGACATCCTTATTGCTATTTTACCCACTTTCCTCCTTCAGTCCTTCCTCCTGCTCCCTCCCTAAAGAGCCTCCCCTTTTCCATTTCCCCCCCTCAGATCACTTGAGTTCTGCTATTCCTCCTCACCCTCCTCCCACCTTCTTCCATATCTTCCTCCTCCTCCTCCCTCCCTCCCCTTTCCTCCTCCTCCCTCCCGCTCCCTGAGGAGCACTTTCCCATGTCCCTAATCAGATGGCTTGTACCTGGCTATCGCCCTCTCTATTGCTCCCCAACCTCGCTATCCTGGCAATGGTTCTGTTTCACATTCCTGTTTCTGCAGTTACTCCAGGCTGTGTGCTCACACGTGAAGATTTGGATGGAGGGCTCCGGTGAGAGCAAATGCGCAGCATTTGCTTTTCCTCACCCAGTGTGACCTCTTCTAGTTCCATCCATTTACCGGCATAGTTCATGACTTCCTTTTTCTTTACAGACAAATAGTATTCCGTAGCGCATCCGCACCACAGTTTCCTAACTAATCCATTGGCTGAGGACATTTAGGTTGCTTCCATTGCCTAGCTATTGTGAAAAGAGCAATCACAGAGCTGAGCAAGTATCTGTGGAGGACGATGCTGAGTCCTTTGGGCATAGACTAGGGAGTGGTACAGCTGGGTTATATGGTGGGCTTATTTTTAGCTTTATGATAATTTTCCATGTGGATTTCCATAGTGACTGAACCAGGTTGCAATCCCTCTGGCAGTGGATGAGGCTTCTGTTTTCCCTGCACCCCTTCTAGCATTTGTCATCCACCATTTTGTTGGCATTTGCCAACCCAAAGTTGTCTTGATCTGTGTTTTGTTTCTTCCTCTCTTTGCAGGCTCTGTTTATTAGGACAGTTTTCTGTCACTAAAAGCCACCTTTGACAGTACCCGGCATCCCCTCTCGAGGAGGCCAATGCATAGCACAGAACCCTTGAGGCTGCTTTTGCTTGGCATCTGGCAGATGCGCACTATATTCTAACCACATCTGTCTTCGCAGGGAGAAGTCGGGGAGAATGGCATTGCCGGACTGAACGGAGAACAGGTACCATGGTTGCCGTCCACCCCAGATACCCTCCTCCGTAGGCTCCCGTGGAGAAAATGAGAATTTGAGCTTTTCCTTCTCCATCTTCTAGGGTGACAGTGGGATTCCTGGAAGAAGAGGAGAAAAGGGTGATGAGGGATCTCAGGTAGGGATCGAGACTCAGAAACTAGAACCCTGCACTCTAGGGGAAAGGAGGGTTTATAAAGTAAAACTGCCCTAGGCATGTCTACTGGCTCTGGCTCCAGGCTTGTTTAGAGACAAGTAATCATGAAACCTGATCACATATGACAGTAAACATTGACTTCTCATGGGTCTGTTGGGTTTTGCTGTTCATGGTTGAAGGTGACTAACCTTGACTCAGGTCTATATGGTATATATGTGATTCTTAGCACATGGGCTATACCTTTTCTGCAGAGGGCAACAAGACACAAACAAGGTCTCATGTGGTGTCTTAAGGTCTTATGTCTCTTATGGCAACATGCCTTCCCTTGCCTTGATGCCTGTGGAGTGAGACAGCACTCACCACTGGGGAAGGGCCAGACATGGTAGCATATACCTTTGGTCCCAGCACTCAGCACTGGGGAAGGGCCAAGCATGGTGGCATATACCTTTGGTCCCAGCATCCTCAGGAGGCAGAGTCAGTTAGCTGTTTGAGACAAACTTGGTCTGCATAGTGAGTTCCAAGCCAGCCAAGGCTACGTAGTGAGCCCCTGTATAATCAAAACAACACAACCACCACCCCCAAACACACTGACAGAGAGTCTTGCCCACTGTGATTGGATATTAATTCACAGTTATGTGAGAAAGAACCAGATTCAAGGAGGAAAAAAGTATTGGGGTCACGGAAGAAACACATTAAGAACATGGGGGAGATATTGACTGGGGTCTGTGGCATGAGGCAGCTGAAGAGAGTCCACGGCACTCCTTTCCTTCTGGCACATGGGGACAGCCACCCCCCAGGCTCTGCTGAGTCTTCATGGTGTGAGCAGTTGATCTGAAAGCCCACTTTTCAGCTGTTGCAAGATATCCCTGGGCAACTGACATGAACTTCGAGTCTCTGCTGCCTCATTAAAACAAAATATTTTTAAAAAATCCTTTGTAGAACATTGACAAGCAAGGTATTGGGAGCACAGAGTTCACGAGTGCAGTAAATAACGGAGGTCAACACTTGAATTGCTCATTTGATGCCAAGTTGCTTATTTGTGGTCCGTTTTCCAGATTAAAAACAACCTCAGTGGAAAAATATTTAATTATCCAAACCAGAGAGGATCTAAGTCCTTTATGCTTATTAAGTTTATTAAAAGCCTCCCATCTTGTTCTTGTTCTGGTCTGTATTAATTCCAGGGAAGTCCAGGCAAGAGAGGGACTGCTGGTGACCGTGGAGCAAAGGGCCTGCGAGGAGATCCAGTAAGTGTGGGGGCTGTGAGATCTGTATGGGCTGTGAAGGGTTGGGTGGGCTGCCTGGGCTTCGTACCATAATTAGGGGTCCCTTCCATGAAGGGAAGGTGTTCCATTTTAAGGCACTGTGGACATACTCCTGAGCTTACAGCCTTGAAGTCCTAAGTGGAGATGTTAAATGTTTCTTTGCCTATGTCCTCTTCTTATTCATTTTTGTCCTTAAGAGCAAGGAAAAAGAGCTGGGCAGTGGTGGCCCACGCCTTTAATCCCAGCACTCAGGAGGCAGAGGCAGGCGGATCTCTGTGAGTTCAAGGCCAGCCTGGTCTACAAGAGGGAGTTCCAGGACAGGCTCCAAAGCTACAGAGAAACCCTGTCTCAAAAAAGAAAACAAAACAAACAAACCAAAACCCAAAACCAAAACAACAACAAAAAAAAGAGAAAGGAATTCTAATCCATCCAGTTATTTTCCTAAACACCTCAAAATACAGTGCATGGGAGAAACAAAGTCCCCTCTTTTTGTCTACTCCCCAAGACTCTGTCTTTTGAGACTAGCAGCCTCACCTTCTCAATTCCAGGATTCTATCAGGTGATCCTCAGGATGGTAAGGTTCCTGCTATTGCGAGGTTCCAACCCAGCAGAGCAGGCATACCCACACCCATGTGTGAGCACACTGTGTCAGTGGCAGTTGGTGCCATGGGTTTGCCCTCACCGTGCCCACAGTTCAGTGACTCTCCAGAACCTCCATGAACAAGGACTTTCTCAAGAAATGAAAATGTTTCTGGGGCTTTTTGACGAGCCGTAACATGCAGCCTTACAGTACCCAACTCTAAAAGTGTGGGCTCAGTCATGGGAAGATGCTTGTGTAGTCATCACCCACATAAAGAAATAAAACACACCTGAATCCCAGAAGTCCCCTTGTGCATGCTCCAATCGCCCCACACCCTCCCAGAGTCACCACTGTACTAGCTCAGGGTATCAGTCTGCACTGTCCTTGAGCTTAGCGTGACTGGGATCATTGTGTGTGCACTCTTCTGCATCTGGCTGCTTTGGCTCTGCTCTACGACCATGAGATGCGTTCACATTGTCTGTAGTAGTGATCACTTGATTCACTACCATGCAGTATTGCATTGAGTGTGTATCAGGTATTTATCCATATTGATAGATATATGGATCATTTATACTAATATAGTACTGATGTGAAGATTCTTCTGCATGTCCTTTGGTATACGCATTACATCAAGTATATAGTTTAGGGACAGAATATCTGGATAGTTGTAGGGTTAAGCCAGCCCCTTGAGGAGGCAGGTTTGCCTCGGGCGAATGCATACCGATAAATGGGCGTGCAGGAGGCGGCTCCGCCCTTTTTTCCTTTCCTACCTCCTGGGCAACGTGGAAACCTAGGTTCTGTAAGTTTATCATTAAAGTGGTAAATATTCTTTAATATCTGCATTGCATTTATTTACGCCAATACAGATAGTGACATGTATTATGTACATGAGCATAATCTTTACAGTTCCCACACATTTATCAAAAATCTTGTAGTGAGCTCCTCTCCCACCACATGAGCAAGGTCATTGTACCATGTATTGATTAGAAACCCCATGGTTTATAAAAACCTGTTTTAAAAGATGCTGAAGAAGGGTGTGGACACCTGGGCATCGATGGGACATTTGCCGGATATCCTCTTGGCAATTTGGTGCACTATGTGTCAAAATTGAATGTGAAGCATGCATCGAAAATAACTATTTATGAAGCAGAAGGGCTGATAGGAGATGGCTGAGTGGGTAAAGGCCCTTGTCATCAAGTCTGAGCCCCCAAGTTCAGTCCTGGGACACACCGGTAGATGGAGAGAGCTGACTCCAGGAAATTGTCCCCTGACTGCCACACATATGTTATGGCACACATGTGCCCACAAAGTGTGCAATTCTTTATATGTTATCCTTCAAATTAAGGGCCTCGTGTGCTCAGTGGAATAAAGTTCTAGACTTGAGCAGGGCATGTTTACATGCCCATTTATTCCCAGCACTGGGAAGGCAGAGGCAGGCAGACTTCAAGGCTATCCTGGTCTACATAGAGAGTTTCCAGACCAGCCAAGGTTATGCCAGAGGACTTGTCTCAAGATGAATAATAAGTGAATAGATAAATCCCGCCGTGATCTTCCTTCTCCTGATCTTCCTCCCCAGAATACCACTATCCAGTTGTTTGATTTAGGCATGTCCGTGTTTGGTGACTTAAGAGACACGTATTTCAGCTTGAGGAGGAAATGAAAATGTAGAAAGTGATCCTGTTTGGTAGGGTGGGGGATAAAACAAAATGTGCCTGCACATTTTAATAATAGCAATCATGTCATAAATCCAGAGTCCTCTCTTTTTCCCTATTAGCTTATAAGCTACTTACATCCCCATCTAAACACTACTTTTTAATAGAGGCTTGCTAAGTGTCTGGAACAGTGCCTCATCCCTGTTGGTGATCGCAAATTACTTATTGATTGATTGGAGGTAATCTTGGGCGCAGGTCAGCAGAGCAGCCCTGCAGCTGGCCCTCAGCAGGGCCGCATCGTTGCTGTTCCTTCTCGGCTTATTGGAGCATCGATTAACTTGACTGGCTCAATGGATGGTCTCCGCACCAAGCGCATACAGTTTGACTGTGGTCCCTGCACCCCAAGTTAGAAAACTTTATGGTTTTTGCCTGCTAAGGATGGTGTCTCACAATGGTGCTGTTTCCAGCAAGTTGATGCTGGGATGTTGGGATGAATATTGGGTGTTCTGAGACTTTCCTGAAGCAACACCAACAAACATCTGTCCACCCAGATAACAGTTCAAGGAAATGATTGCACCCAAGTCTAACCTAGTGAGCCAGTGAGTTTATTGGAGTTTCTTATGGGAACATGAGAGGGGTTATTTACAGGAGCATGGGTGACTCGGGAGCAGCTGCATCACTGGAAGACCACCCTAGCAAAAGAGGGAGACTCAACAAAATCCACATCTCTAGGGTTCCTTGCCAGCTCCTAGGCAGCTCCCCCAGTGTCTCCCTTGCCTGGCAACTGTTACTGCTTATCCAGTGTGGCAGGTGTGTGGTCCTCAGCATGGGTCAGAGTGTGTGTGTGATTGGGATGAACCCATCACAAGCATTTAACTCTCCCAAGAGAAGAAGGTAAGCCTACCAGTTCTCAAGTGCAGATTTGCTTAGGACTCACGGACAAGCTAAGAGATGGGCTGGTTTCAGCCCTATGGTAGGACACAGCTCTGCCCCCTTGCTTCCCTTGGTCATGCCCTCTGTGCCCAGGTCTTGCTTTCTCCCCATGTGTCCACCTTGGGTATCCACTCTGAGTCTGCTCATAGCAAGCCAAGGAGGCAAATCAAAAAGCCACTTGTCACTTCCGCCCATTTCTGCTCTCTTTGATGAATTTGCAATTCATTAAAAATATGTTCATTTTTTCTTTATTTTCTCCTTTGTAGGGGATTCCTGGACTTGATAATGACATACAAGGACCCAAGGGCTTGAAAGGAGACCGTGGAAGACAAGTAAGTATGTGGGCATTTGGTAGTAAGCTTGCTGCATGAGGTTCTGCAGAGGCTGAGAGACTCAAGGCTTTAGTCGTAGAATAGAGAACACCTGGGGAGGAGTTGGGACTAAGAGAATATACTTAGTGCAGAAAAAAATATTGTAGGAATAAAAAAAAAAACCCTTTCACTCCTGCTTATTTCTTGCTGTGATACATTAAAAACATTGTCAATTTCTAAATTTGGGATGACTGGCTGCCCTAAGCCACACCCATGAGGCCTTCATGAACACCAACATCTAAGCTCCGGCTTAATAGAAAGATTGTTGTTAAAGGTCGAGCAAGGTTGATGGCCTTCCCAGTGTCCAGGGGACACACATGCTAGGAAGACACGCCCCCTTAGCCTGTGATGGAAAGAGCTGGCATGGATGGCCCCTCCCCCAAGGCAAATCTCTAGGGATTGTACTGCAGTCTCGCAGATCACAATTTAATCCCTTATCCTATTATTTAGGATTTAAAAAGCAATGTGGCTAATGGGTGTCTGGTTCCTCTTAATGAGCAGGCCCCCTTGAGAAGTCCTAGTAGGGAAGGAGCCCGGTGTGGTAGGAAGGAGTCGATGGTGCTGTCTTTTTTCTCGGGCTCTGTCCATGGTTCACTTTGTACACAGGGCTCCACTCTATAGAAACCTTGATTTTTTTTTCTTCTTTGCAGAATATAGTAAATATTTGTGTGTTCTTGGTTAACAAATTATTCCATACTTTTTGCATGGAGTTGGCATAAGGAACTGGGGGGGGGGGGTGTGCTTTTGAGGCTTTATTCATGGGAAGATGTTAATCTATTCAGGATAGGCAAAAAAGCAGCCCAAAGGTAGAAATCCCAACTGGGGTCTGGGAAGATGGCTCACTTGGCTAAGTGCTTCATGTGAAAGCAGGAGGACCTGAGTTCAAATCCTCAGCACCCACTTAAAAAGGTGGATGTTGTGGCATACGCCTGTAATCCTAGCGCTGGGCAAGAAGATCCTGTGCACTTTGACCAGATGGTACTGCTGAATCTGTGAACTTCAGCTCCAGTTAGAGACCCTGCCTAAAAATAATAAGATGGAAAGCAATTGAGAAAGACACTCTGTCAACATCTGGACCTCCACACACACCCAAATATATGTACGCACCCTGCATAAATGCATACATACACACCCACACATGTACAAAAACCCCCACAAGCAGTGCCTCCCAGCCATATTCATGCCATGCTAGGTGACTGAGTGAGGCGATATGAGTTGTGTCTCAACATGAATTACTGTCAATGAGCAGTTGGAGCCTGAAAACATGGCGTCGGAGTTGTAGGGCTGTTCCCCATGACACACACAGAGATGTGACTGATGACCAACGGAAGATAGTTTCACACTTCAGGGAAAGATGACCCCTTCCCTGGAATAAGCCCTTCTGGTACATGAGCAGGTGTTAAGTTAGAACCCCATCAGTGATGGGATGTTGTGGTCACACATTCTTTTGTTCCTCTGACAGGGTAGAAGAGGCTGGCCAGGCTCTCCTGGGACACCAGGCTCCAGAAGAAGGACGGTAAGAGCTCCCCAGGGAAAGAAACTTCTAGACCTGGGGTCCCATAGCTTGAGTTGTGATGACAGTGGCTGACTGCGGGGAGTCAGTGGGATGGTCACTGGGTCAGGGATGCTATCTCAGGATGGGGCTGGCCTAGTAAAGTCCCTGAAGTTTGGATAAGAAAGTGCTAGCTACAGGGGAAATTATGCATAGGGAAAGACTACCACACAAAGAAAACCAATGAGTGTGGCCAATCGGGGGAAAGTGGCCAATGTTTGGCCCACTTGATGAATAAACTGACGTTGCCAGTGATGTTACTTGATGTCCAAGCTCCTGTGTCTGCCAAATTTTATGTCTGTTAAGAAAGCTGGGAAGAAAACCCATTCTTCCTTCCTCAGCAGCCATTGATTGACAGCCTGAAGTTCATCTGCTTTGACAGGTCTACTGCTGTTGTCAACATGCAGGACTTGTTTAGACAACAGAATGTTGAGATTTGAAGGGTGTGACATCCCTATCATGTCTTGGGGTAAGGGGTGATGGAAGGGTAGGAATTATGTTAAATATAATGTACTCACATGGAATTCTCAAAAATTAAAAAGAATGGAAATGACAAAACAGCAAAAAAGAAATGAAGAGAGGGATTGGTAACCAAGAGGTAGAGACTAGGTTATTGGACGACTTAGGGATTCTGATGCTGAGGTAGAACCCCCAAAGCAGCTTGGGGAGGGAGAGGGTGTGTTTCAGGTCACACTCCATCACCGAGGCAAGTCAGCGCAGGTGCTCAAGGCAGGAATTGAAGCAGAAGTCATGGAGGCATGCAGCTTACTGGCTTGCTCCTCTTGGCTCGCTCAGCCTGCTTTCTTATACAACTGAATATCACCTGTCCAGCGGTAGCGCCACCCACAGTGAGCTGGGCCCTCCTACACCAATCACAAATCAAGACAAAACCCCACAGATGCACCTGCAGGCCAGTCTTATAGAAGGATTTGCTCAATTAAAATTCCCTCTTCCTGGATTTGTCTAGATTAGTGTCAAGTTGACAAAAGCCAGCCAGCACACTGTGGAACCCTTTGCGGGGGGTGGGGGGGATATTAATTTGCTTTTAGTTTATTTTATTGGTTTTGCTTAAATCCGCGCTTTAAAACGCTCTATGTATGACTGCTTAGAAAAGTGCACAAAGATTCCAAACAGCAAGCCTTTATCCAATAAGAGATTATTTAATGGAATTCGCTTCCACACCTGCATTAGAGTCTAAATTAGACCAATTTTGTCTCATTTTGCAGCATTTTCTTTCTCATTCTTTGTTTAGCTATCCAGCCTCCCTCGAATTCCCTCACCCGACCCCTCGAAATACATAATGTCTTCAAATTGAGCACAAATGGAACACTGGTTGAGCGGATGGCGCTTATGATGCATTGTGTTTTCTGGGCAGATGCAGTTGATGAAACCAGCTCTTATCCCCCATCAGGAAAGGATTTTTGCCTCTGGAAGCACACCCCTGTTCTTCACAAGGCTAGGAAATGAAAGGGCGGAGATTACATTCAGAACATACAGAGTGTGATTGCTAGCAACCCAATTTGCTAATGCATATGCAGACGAGGGGGTTCGTCCTCCCCGCTTGGCTTTCTGGAAGGGCATCCTTGAAGGCTTCCATCCCCCTGCAAACTATTTTCATTGCTAAGAATATCACCCAGGAAATCCTGGTGTGATGGGATGTGTATTTACTGTTTTGTGGCCTCCAGAGGCCACACCAAACTGCACAGCTTCTGAGGAGGAGCCGCCACTTTGGAGATAGATGTCTCTGTGACATGCAGGAGTCAAAGCAGGACTTTTGACAACTGACGAACCAAGGGGGCCTCAACGAGTCCTCTTTTGTGCAACTCAGCAAAATCAAAACACACAAACCGTGACCCCGCCTTCAAGCCAGAGACAAGGACTAATACTGCCCAGCTAGTTCTGCACCTGGACTGTAGGGAGAAAATCCATCCACAGCCACTCAGCTCTGAAGCCAGGGTCAGGTTTCTCTCAAGGTGACAGTCACCACCCAGAAAGAGCTGATGAACACAGCTCTGCAGATTTTCATTGTTGATTCTGAGAGGAGCAGGGGACAGCCCCATACATCCCAGGGAGCAGAGGAGGCAGAAGGGACAAGGAAACCAGAAGCTGAGGCCAGGACGGCTGCAAAGAGCGAGGAAACAGGAAGTCAGTAGAGATTATGACACTGGCAAACTGCTACCTTTGGGGGCTTCATGTGAGTCTAAGATTTTCCTAAGTGCTTAAAGATAGAGGAAGATGTAAAAGCAAGAATTCCCTTAGCCCCAAAGTCAGTGTCTCCATGTCCCACCACATCTCTCCAGGGAGCTTCAGTCCACAGGGGTCCTAAAGATGGCTAATGTTTGATGTCGATGAATCAGATGGCTAATGACATCCAAAAAGACAAATTAGCCCCTCCCCCATTTGAAGAGGAGTTACTCAAGGGGAAAGTAGAACTCTGGCAAATAGTTCAAGTCTGAAAGAAATGAAACCCTCAGTTTTGTTCTGAATAAAAGCTTAAAGAATTGCCAGGAGAGCCAGGGCAGTGGTGGCACACGCCTTTAATTCCAGTACTCTTTTGAGTTCAAGGCCAACATGGTCTACAGAACAAGATCCAGGATAGCCAGGGCTCTCAGAAAAACTATGTCTCAAAAAACAAAATACAAAAACAAACAACAACAAAAAAGAATTGCTAGGACAACAGAGCATGAAAGGTGTCTGCTGGAAGAGCTTGGGGAACAAAGCAATAGCAAGAAGGAAGCGGCAAATCTACTGCATAGCAGAAATGTTGTCTTCAGGCTCCAAGTTCTTATTTTCACTTTTCCAGTTAAAGTAGATGCAATACTTACATTTTTAGATTTATTTTATTGTTCTTGTTGGTTTATTTTTTATGTATACAAGTGTCTGTCTATATGTATGTGTGCCATTTCATGAAGTGCCTGTGGAGGGCCGCAGAGAGCCGCTAGAAGGAGAGCTGCCCTGTGGGTGCTGGGAACTGAACCTGAGTCCTCTGGGAGAGCAGCCAGTGCTGACCCAACTCTCCAGCCCAATACTGAAATTTTAAAATAGCATAATCACATGGTCCCCTTTTCAATAAAAGTGCCACTGTTGAAGAATTCTGTCAGAAAAATCAGGAATCATGGCTATCAAAAAGCTAATAATTATTTCTCTTCTCTAGACATTTTAAAAATGTTTAAAAGTTTTACCTGTAGGAATGTATGTGTACCTTGGCCTGCTGCCCTCAGCGGTGAGAAGAGCAGGTCAGATCAGATCCCCTGGAACTGGAGTTATAGAGGGTGGGGAGCTACCATGTGGGTGCTGGGAACAGAATCTGGGTCTCTGAGTGAGCAGCAAATGCTCTAACCTCTGAGTCCTCTCTCTGACCCCTGATGCATGGGAGATTTGGGGTGATTTTAACATTTTTGTTTGATCAGCATTCATAGGGCTTATTATTTTTTTGTTTGTTTGTTTTTTGATTTTTCGAGACAGGGTTTTTCTGTGGCTTTGGAGCCTGTCCTGGAACTAGCTCTGTAGACCAGGCTGGTCTCCGAACTCACAGAGATCCGCCTGCCTCTGCCTCCCGAGTGCTGGGATTAAAGGCGTGTGCCACCATCGCCCGGCTAGGGCTTATTATTTTTATAATTGCAATGAAGTTATTCTTCTTTAAAGAAAAAATCTGTTGTTTATAAAACAATAAAAATATAGGTAGAAATTGGGCGGAGGGTGAAACTCTGTGGCCAAGTGCCTGTCTAATATGGCCAAAGCTTGCAGTTTCATTGCTAGTGCTTCATATACCCACAAAATGGGTCTAGATGCATCTAGATGAAGATGGAGAACATTGAAGAACCCTTAGTACAATAAAATCCTGCTGAATTGGCAAGTGATTGGAGGGTGGCCATTATTGGCAGGGGCAGGGTTTGGCAAGTAAGTGATGGGCTAGTGGCCAGTAGTGGGGAACATGGCAAATGATTGGAGGATGGCCAGCAGTGGAGGGTGGGGCAGTGATTGAAGGGTGGCCAGAGGTGGGAAATGTGGCAAGTAAGTGACTGGAGGGTGCCCAGTGATGGGGGTGGGGGTGGCATGCAGGGAAATGGAGGCCTGCTGCTCCAAGGCCATCTCTCTTCACTTGGCAAACATTGAACACCAACAATGAACCGGTAACTCGCTGTGTACTAGAGTTCTCTGCAGGAAATCAGAACCAGGGGGTAAACCATAGCAAAGTCTCTCCACTCCAGCATGCTGGCATTTATTTGAAGCATCGCTTGCGGTGAAGGGCTACATTATGCATGGGAAGATGTAAGTTTCTCCCTTGACCTGTGTTCACTGGGTGCCAGCAGCACACCCAACAAGAAATGTTCCCCAGACTTTGCTAACTGCTTCCTGGAAAGAAAGGAGAGAAACCCCTCTTCTACTTGAAGGCCACTGATGGGAAAGGAGGCAGGCCTGTTGGGTGAACAAAATGATATCAGAGCAAGGCGGCCAAGAGACTAGCCTGGTCCAAGGGCAGGGAGGGAGGACCACGGCCAGGAAGCACAGCCCCGGGCACTGGTGGGAAATGGGAGGGGTGGCTGTGTCTGGACCAGACTGCTGAGGATGAGAACAGATCCTCTGCCAGGGGTAATGAGAAGCAACTGTGGCCTCCACCAAAGCAGCCTTCCATTCCAGTTTGGTCCAGATTGCTTTGGTTGTGCTTTCTCCATTCATTTTCCTGGGAACCTCTTTATAGGCCTCCCAGAGTGCTCCAGGGCAGCATCATTGGGGATGAGCCTGCCAGTAAGATTCAGAATTCGTGGGGTGTCTGCCATTAATATGTTGCTTGCTTCTTTGTCCAGACTCTTTGTCCAGAATCAGTCATGCCTATACAGAAAACGGGGTCCTCACAGGTACCCAGAAAGCCAGGCCAAAAGGAACGTAGAATTGGGGACTCTGTCTTGCATCATTTTCTTCTCTGCTGCCCCAAGGGGACTTTCCTCTCTTGATATGCCCACTCACATTTGCTGTGAAATACAGTCTGGGTTGTGACCGGAACCCAGGCTGTCTTTGAGTGCACCCTTCTGATGGTCTGTGATTGTCTTTCCTATGCAAAGCACTTGAAAATGTAAGGGAAAAGCTGCAAGATCATTCGCCTCAATTCCTTGTCTGCTTTCTGTATCTCCTGTTTGCCAAGGTCCCTCTCCCATGATTTTGTAGCTTAAATCAGCGACCATGCTAGGTGGCCACTTTCGGGTTTGTTCCCTTCTCTTTTATGGCTGTTAGATTAAAGTCTGTCTCCTCCATTAGGCCTAAACCCCCATGAACAGGGACAGGGGTCAGTTTTTACTTAGGAGGGACAGGGACACCAGAGAGGCATTTGTGGTATAGTAATTTATGTCACTGAGCCCTTTCAAAAATGAGATCTTAAAGTCCCAGGGGAGCAGAGCTGAAGAGATAGCTTAGGGGGCCATGCGCTTGCAGGGAAGCCTGAGAACTGAGACAGAGTCCGCGGAACATAACCAGGTATGGGGGTGTACCCGTAATCCCGGCACCGAGAAGCCAGGCTAACAGACTCCTGATGGTGGCTGGCTGGCCAGCCCAACCTCATCAGTGAGCTCCAGGCCAATGGAGAGACCCTGTCTCAAAACACAAGGTAAATGACAGCTAAGGAATGCCACGGGAGGCTGGCCTCTGGCCTCCATGTTCATAGTCACACATGTGCATCTACATACACAAGCAAATGAGCATACACAAAAGGCCAACAACTTACTACACAGGCACAAATGTTGGCGTGTCACGCACTGGCAGGAGAGGAACATTCTTCACGTGGAGGGCTGCTTTTAAAACCGACTAGTAACTTGCATTCTTCTCGGCATTCTCAGCTCCTCCGCTGCAGCCAGCTATGTTCCCATAAAACCTGCTCCAACCATGGATAACTATGCCACACTGAGTAGTAGGGGACAAACCTCGGCCAGACCCCTAGCAAGGCAGTCTGCCTCTCAACTTGTCCTTGGGCCTATATCTACCACCCCTCCTGTTTTCTGCCTTGAAGTTGTTACCCAGGCTGTGTACAAATCCCCTGAAACCAATCTCAGAGACATCTCTAGGGAGATTTTCCCACGGGAGCGACTGGATGTGATCTCTGTCTTTGAAACTGTCTTCCCATCCTTAGGCATAAGCTGTATTCTGCCTTGTAAATGCTGGTAGTGTCTATCCCTCCTCCCCCAATACTCAGAGTGAGGGTTTCCTGTGGTCAGAGATTCGGGGCTTGTGTGTGTGCATTGGGGGGCAGAGGCCCAAGCTTGTCCGCATGCTCATTCTCTCTTGTGTCCCATCAATTGTCCTTCAAAGGGTGGCAGATATCTTCAGAATAAAGTGATCTGCTGGATATGTCTCTGAATGACATGGAATCGAATTGAATGGGGGCAATTCTTTGTGCTAGAGGGAACAGATTCTTTTTAAACTTTAAAAACTTATGTGTGTGTGTGTGCCAGCATATGTGTGTGCAACCACATGTGTGCAGTTGCTCATCAATGCCAGAGGAGGACTTTTGACCCCCTGGAACTGCCTGCTGTGGGTGCTGGGAACTGAACCAGGGTCCTCTACAAGAGCAGTCAGTGCTCTTGAACCCTAGGCCTTCGTTCCAGCCCTTTAAAAAACGACTTCTCTTTCTTCTCTAGCAGAGAATTGGGGCCTTGATGATGACTCATTCTTGTTGGAGAGAAATGGGACAGGTCCCTATGCACACACCTCTGCCCCTTAGATGACAGCATAGTTTGAAAGACACTTAGCAACACTGGCCTGTCGGAACACGTCACATGAGTTTCCAGTGAGACAATGCTGTCTGGTGGCTATTGAATTGTATAACCCTAGATGCGAGTTTTGCTCGGACCTTACTATATGACCAAGTCAGACAGGAAAATGTGATTGTCTCTTGATTTTCCAAATTGTGGACTATGGATTGGAAATGCACCTTGAACTTTGACCTCACACAGAATAAAAATTCCCCTTCCCTTTTTAACAATGTTATTTGGATCAGGTGTTTTATTGATACAATGAATTGAGTCACTTTTGAATATTTGAGATGCTTTCTGACAGCTCATCCCATTGCTTGGCTCTAAAAATCAAGCTAGTTTGGCTCTTTGAGTTCTGGTCTCAGAGTGATGTGAAGTTCCTGGAGGCGATCCTCAGCTTTTCCTTTGGCGCCCTGCCCTTTGGCTGGTCCCTTCCTGATTCCAGCCTTCCTTTGTAATCCTTGGGGGAAAATAAGAAAGAATTTAAAATTCAGGTCGGTGTCGCAGCTCGCAGCTACTGAGCGGCTCTGGTCAAGTTTAGTGAAGGTGGGTTGCTGGCTATGATCAGTTCTCCATGTATCTCTGGGTTCTGGCTGTCTATGATTTCAGTTACCTGCATCGAAATTCAGATTGGCTGTTTTCACAATGCACTGGATAATTGAATGAGTTAAGCACAATGTGGAAGTTATTTATGTCCGTACCTTGGGGTAGCCAATGCTAATTTAAATAATATATTGCAGCATCTTTTTTAAACCAAGAGTATCTATCTTTCCCCTTTCATTTTAGGCAATTCATGGCCGAAGGGGACATACAGGCCCACAGGTCAGTGATAATTTCTTTCTCTTAACTTCAGATGGCAAGCAACTCACTCACAAAATGGGAGCTAGAATAAAGATGGTAATATCTCCTCCCAACTTCAACTTTTGGTTTTTGAGGACACTGGTTGTAGAATAAATTATTAAAAAATATTAGCTACAATTTTAAGAATTCTAAATGAAAGGAAAATTGGGGTACTTTATTTAAAAATTTCAACAATTAAAAATGTTTAAACATAAAAATGATCAAAGATGCCATTTAGTCCAATGGTTAAGCTTCATTTTGTTTGGCTTTTGAGCACAAACTCTAAGTAACCTTTCTTGGATTTGTAATAAGGGATCCTCTCTGACTTAGAATTTGTGTGAAAACCCCATAGACACCCAAAGAACACACTGAAAGTTGAATACAAATGGGATATTCTGAGTGCCCTGAAAACACAAGTGGAAAGTTGTGCCCATCCCTCTATGCACCCTGGCGGTACACCCTACACTGCTTCCTGAAAGCTCACCCTTTAAGAAAGAGCAGCTGTGGCCTAGAATCTTGCAGGGCACACATGCTCAGATTAAAAGCACAAGGAGGGTAAACAATAAACCCACCCTCTGTCCCATGGTTGCACCAGAAGGAAGCTCCACAATCTGAAGGATGAAAGAAACCTTCAGTGTTTGCAAAGACTCTTTGTTGCCCCTGAAAAGAAGTTTCTAATCTTGCACATGAAGAGACAGCATTAATGGGTTGATAACTCAATTCTTTTTTTTTTTCACCACAGGGCAATCCAGGCATCACAGGCCCAGATGGACTTGAAGGTTCACCCGGACTTAAGGGCCCTCAGGTATGCATAGAGCAAAAAGAAGCATCTGTGTGTGGAGAACCTATATAGCCTGGATCGACCCCTTCATGTAGCCTGCAGAATTACAGAGGCTTGGGAGTATGTTTAGGTCAATAAAACAAATAAGCAATGAGTCTTGATTTGTACAGAACTTTGTCTCTTTTATCCGAGTTCTGTCCCTGTCAAGAAGTGGAAAGAGATGAACATGCTGGGCAGGATCGTTAGGATAATCCAGGAGTCCTTGAGCCAAGGAAAATATTGAGCCTTGAATTTGAAGACTGTGGTCAGTTTAGCACTGTAAGAGCTCAGCGTTGTATCTGGGACGTCCGTGGTGTTGAAACATTGGCTCAGCTCAAGGAAAAATTTGTTCTAAGTGCAGCTGGAGGTTTCAGCGGGGTGATCTATAGCGTGGCACCCTGCCTGTCCTTTCCAGTTCGCTCCTCTGAGGAGCTATCTCCAGAACTTTTCTTTCCAAGGAGCAAGCCGTAGTTGGCGCTTTGCTCTGGTCGTATGAGCGGGGAGGGACTTGTGCCAGAGAGGGCAGAGCATGGCCCAAGTCAACAGTGAGACAGGAAGGGAGCACATGCAGAGAAGGAAGAAAGAAGCTGGGCTGGCATGTAACTCAGCGGTGGGACACCTGTGTGGCATGCCTGTGTAGCATGTACAGGCCCTGGGTTAAGTCTCCAGCATGGAAGGAAAGAGGTGGGGAAGCAAAGGAGGAGGGAAGGGACCAGAAGTCAGACCATTAGAATAGTATTTTTCCTCTCTCAACTTGGTTTTGAATGTATGAAAAACAGGTGCACTGTTAGGCAAGACAACCATTGGTTTGATTGTTTGAGGGTTTAAAGCAAGTACATAAAAATAAAGGAATTCTAGGTTGGCAGTTTGTGTGTGGAAGTTGGGCAGAACACATCAAAACATCAGAGAGACACTTTGTGACACGCCGCCATGATTTCAGCATGGTAAACAGCCTTCCCCTCAGACTGCCCCCCCTACCCGTTTGATTGCCTTTATTTGCCGTTACGTGCCTGCCAAGGAACACTCAATTCTCTTCCTTTAAAGTGAGAAACATTTGCTGTTGGGCTCGCTGGAAAGTATCCCCATAAATCGACTGCCTTTATCTCGCGCTATGCGGGTCACAGCCAGCCTTCCTTCTTTCGGTTTATGGACCTTTTTTATTTACAGCACAATTTAAAATGGAGCAAAATACCAAACACAGCCTTGAAGAAAGTTTCTCTGCAACCTACTGAAGCCATAATACTCAGGCAATAGAATCTTCCAGAAGTAGAAATATCTAAATTTCATCTTGCTATGGAATGTATCTTTTTATGACCCATCTTGGTTGTGGTTATTGAATATTAAATGGATTGAAAGGTTCTGGTTCCTGATTTACATGATTAAGAAAAACACTTTCCACATAAAAAGCATATGGCTTTCAGTTAATTTTGAAGGCCAAGAGCAATTGGCAGGACTAAAAATCTCAGTTTCGGGTGTTTCTTCCAGGCCCTAGCTCCTTCAGCTATACAGGCTCCAGCACCTCAATTTCAGACTGTCCTGTGGTGCACCTACGCAGATGAGGAAGAACTCAAGACCCACGCAGTAGCCACAGCATGATTTGGCTCCCTGACCAGTTTCTATGTCACCTTGACTTAGTGTTTGATTTTTAACGTACAAGTTTTCTGTTCTTGCTAAGGGAGAAAATAACACTTTCTTTCTGTGCATTTAGGGCCTGAGAGGAAAGACTGGTGAGAAAGGAGAAAGAGGATTTCTGGGAATGAAAGGTCCCCAGGTAGGTAAGGAAGCAGCAGCTGCATCTGGTTTTGACTTTGGCTTTAAGGTGGATGCTTTTAGTAGGGTTCTTCTCTAACAGTGAAATCCACACTGCCTGCAGACCAAGTGTGTCAAGTTTGACCTGGGTGTGAGAAGTGGCAGATGCATCGTACCCTGGTCCCTGCTTGTCATACAGACTGTTAATAGAGGCAGAAAACCTCCTCTAGGTAGACATCCTTGCCTCTGGTCCTCGGCTGAGGTTAACAATTTTTCCTGGATGCTATCACTTGCTCACAAGCCACTTGGAGTTCCCTACCCCACCTCCTGGGGGAGCTAGAGAGCTGGTTTGTTGGTTAAGAGGACTTGCTAATTCTTCCAGAGAACCCACATTCATAACCTCCTGTAACTCCAGTTTCAGAGGATCCAAAACCCTCTCCTGGTCCTCAAGGCACCCACACACATATGGCATACATGCACATACCCTCACATGCATACATATAAAAAAGGTTTGGGTTTTTTTTTTTTGAAAAATTATCATTTCCCAGGGAGACTAAACCATTTTACTACCTGGAGCTGTACTCAGAACCCTTAGAATTTCTGAAAGTGAAGACATGGCGTTGATAATTCTAAATTCTCCTCAGATAACACCAGAGTTGGGAACGACTACCCAGCACCCACACTTCTATTTCAGCGTGCTCTCAGAATCCCCAGGGGAGTGTGTTAGGGTGCAGGTCCTCAGAGGGTCTAGACTGAGGCTTGGAGTTCTGTATGTTCGGTGTGTCCCTAGTTGATACTGATGCTGCAACTCTGGACCACACGTTGAGTAGCAAGGCCCTATGTGGTCGGCTCCTTGTCTATGGCTAGCATAGCATGTATCTATCTTTTGGTCTCTTTCAGCGGGTTGCAAGCTCCATCCATGTTGGCGTCTTGCTTATGCTGCATCCCCAGAGCTTAGGTCCACAGTGCCCGGCACAGCAGAGTTTAATACATTTGTGTAATGAATCAAGCAGTAAATGAATGAACGAGACCTAGTTGGGACCTCCACCCTCCGCTATTAGCAGTATCAAGGGAATGCATTACTTTGCATCCATTAAACTGGGCAGAGGCCCAACGTTTAAGTGACTGTGCTCATCATGAGAATATTTAAGGGGCTATTTGCATAGAGTTGTATGTCGTGACATATTGGTGTAAAGTACATTAATAACCGCCTGTGACGAGGCTTGTTCCTGGTTTTGATGAAAGTGCTCTTTCCAAATGCATGAAAACTTCCTAATTGGATAGCAGAATTAAACTGGTGATAAAACTCTTCTGCATTCACTTCTTTAATTCATTTCCAGCTGGCTGGCACCACAATGGAGATTTTTATTTAAGAAAATAGTAAGGACAAAGGAAGACATATCTCATCTGTTGATATCAAATACTGATGTGGATGTGTAAATGAGTTGAAATCCAAAGACCTTGGTCTTTCTTTTGCGCTAGGATCCAAAATGGTATCCAAGACTGTTAGTTAGAGTAATTCTTCCATTTGCCCCGTGGGACACCTTCATCCATGGGTCCTTTTAATCTCGCTTTGGCAGGATGTGGCACAGTCATAAATCATCCAGCCTTTGGCACTGCCAGCTAGTCAAAGGCACGTCTCTCTAGTTCACTTCCATTTGTCTGGCTGGAAAACCTCCCTTTCTTCCCCGGCTTGGTTTTTGAGCAATACCCTGCTTGTCGGCCTGTTAAAAGGCAGTTTCGAAGACAAGTGGAATTTTCTGTGTTTGGGACATGATGAATGGGATCTCTAGATTGCTGTTTCCAGAGGAAATTCACAGAGACAAACACAGTCAGGCGCAGAGGGGAGTGTTGTTCATTATCGGCTCTGCAAACCCATCGCCATAGGTCCCGTATTGTTTTATGGCACAGGAGGAACCCTCCAACAGAACAGTGTTTTCTAGCAGCAGGCTTGAAAGCTTTCCCTGGGACTTGCATCTTGAGAGGGACGTGATCTGGATGGATGGCGTACCGGAGGCTTATTGAGTTACTCAGAACTCGGTGTTCTACATAAGTGAGATGTGCTAGTCCAGCCAATATGTGTCTGCAATTAAGAAGCAAGCCCAAGTTGTACTATGCCCGGGAAGATGTTTTTGAAAGGGATGAAAGAGTACTTGTACCTTTTTGTGTCCCATCTTTTGTTTCTCTAAAATTTCCAAATGCTAGGAAATCCGGTGGGAAACCAGGTCAAAAATATTGACTGTACTTGGAGATGTAACTGTTCCTTGAATATGTGTTCTTAGCTAGTAGCGTGCACACCAGCAAGGCTAGAAGTAGCCAAGCATTGGGTTCTTCTCTGTAGGACCAGCACCCGAGCAGGAGGCAGGTTGAACCCACCAGGCTCAACTGGATAGTTTCATGTTCGCGGTTCTTTTAATGGCCCTGGTTAAACTCAGAGGGTTATAAAACAAAAAGGGACTAAGGAAAAAGGGGGCTTGTAAGGAAGAGGAGTTGGCTGGGGGGAGAAAGAGGGGCAGGGAGGATTAGACTAATCAGACTTTATTTTACACATGTCTGAAATTGTCAAAGACCAATATATGCAAATAAATGCTAGTTTGAAAAAAGCAGAGACGGAAGGATTAGGAGTTCAAGCTTTAGCTACATAAAACTATATTTCAAAAAAAAAGGTGTGGAGGGAAAGGGAAAAGAGTCTTAGGAGGAAGGATCAGAATTGTTTCATGCAAATGTGGGGAACAATGTGAGATTTCTGTTGTCTTCCCAGATTGTGCCATAGTAGTCACGGACATTGAATCTGGAGCCAGGTTGCCTGGGTCTGGTTCTGGGTTTATGCGTGTCTGTCTCATCTGTGTGACCTTGGATAATTTACTTAACCCTGGACATCTCCTGCAAAAGAATAGTAGTAGCAGTTAACTTCATTGGATGTTGTGAAAATTAAATAGTTTGATAGATGTAAATGCTTGCAACCATTACTTGCATAGTAAAGACTGCATAAATATTTTTATTACTACAATATTGTGTCTATATTGCTGAATTAAACAAGTGTAGCTTATACTTTTATTTGTTTGTGTGAGAGTGCACACATGTGTACTCACCACAGTCCACATGGAAAAGCCAGAGCGCCAGTTGGAGGAACTGGTTCTCTCTTACCATGTGTGTTCCAGGAATTGGACTTGAGTCCTCAGGCTTGTGACAAACACCCTGGCCCACCGAATCACCTCCCCAAGCCAAAAAGAGGTGGGCTATGGCATAGAGTATGCGTCATATTTTGAAGGAAACGCTGCCAGGCATAGAACAATATGTAATCCGTGTCATAATAGTCGGGTTTCACCATCCTGCAAGATTTAGACTGGATGGTCCATGCACTCGATCCTTGTACCGGTTTGACAAGTGTTTATAGTAAGTGCTGTCTAGTGGTGGCCCTGCTTGAGGACCCCAAGATGGCACTGCTGTCTGCTAGCACTTTCTGAAACCGTTTCAGAAGCTTTAGCCTGTGCCCACAGACACAACTTTTGTCACAGTGCTCTTTGGTTTTAGTGAAACTTTCTCAGCTTTCTAAGGCACATTTCACGGTTTGCAAATGAAGATAAATATGCCTTTAAAAAACAACAAACAAAAATTAGTCCTTGCCTGTTGTAGAAAGCCTTCTTTGAAGACCAACCCTTTGGGAAGCTTTTTTTTTTTTTTTTAAAAATGTTAGACACTTCAGCAACATCTGTTCCCTGAGCGAAACAGTGGGAACCTAGACTCTGCTTGGACACAGACTCACAAGGAAGTGTAATCATTTAGGCCACATCTGGCTGGGGTTACTTATTAATTTTCCTTTATTTACTAGTCTTTATTTGACAGCCGCAATATATTTTTTTTCCAGAGCAGGATCAGCTCAGCCCATAAGTCTTCTCCCATCTGAACTTCATTTTCTGGAGATGTGTAAAAGTGTTGAGGGAAAGCTGCGCTTTGTCTCACTGTATCTGCATCAATCCTTGTTTCATTCCAGGGGCCTCCAGGACCAGGAGGACAAGTGGGGAATCAAGGCCACTTGGGAAGCCAAGGAAATAAAGTAGGTCACATTCTTTAATTCAACCCCTCCGATGTTCAAGTTTGTGTTACCCGAGAGAGCTGTGGCTGGCTGGCTGAGCCAGAGCCCTTTCAACACAAAGGAAAACACATCTTGTTGCCCCTAAGCTCTGGCTTGATGCTTGGAGAGCCAGAGATCTCTAAGGACCTGGGTGTGGACCAGGATGAGGTCAGGGACTCCAGTGTAGCATAACTGCACGAGGGGCTACACCCCATTCAACTGAGGGCTCTCAGGGGAAGAAGGCTGCTCTCCCGTCCTCTCTGTACCATCCCTTCCTTCCTACCTCTCTTGTTTCTCCCTTCTCATGTGAACTGTAGGCTCAGGCTTCTGTTGTGCTGGAAAACTGGGTACAGGCAAGCAGGGTCATCTGTGTATCTCTAGTGCTTAAAACACAGCCTGGCCTGGACCAAGAACTTAGTATTTATGAATGAATGCAAGTCGAGGAGCAAGATACATGGAGCATGAAATCAGGCCCAAAGAATTTAGAACATCTTGAAGGCAGCCGTCTCTGGCATAAGGGAGATAAGGGGAAAGAGGTTGGAAATTGAGGTTTAAACAAAGTGGTTAGGAGTATTTCTGTGCTGGAGAAGGAGACATCAAAGAGGATTCACGCTTCGAGAGGCCTTTGGAAGACAAACACTTTGAAGAGCAGAGAAGGAAAACGGGGAGGGGTAGGAATGGGCAGGAAGCCGTGGGGTTTAGAGCATCCTAGGAGGAATTATTTGAAGAATAATTATTTGCCTGAAATTTTTCCTGTCTGGTGGGCACATAAAGAGCAAGGTAGTCTGTGTTTGGATCCTCAGTCTCTGGTACAGGGCTGTCTACTTGTTTCAAAGCAGTTGTATAGACACAGCCCAACCCTTAGGCAACATTAAGTGGACAGCCCAGTGAAGATGGTTTTGGTTTTTTGAAGGGTGAGGGCCTGGAAACAAGGAGACTAGTTGGTCCCTCTCATTGTCCCCAAGAGCAGCAGTGACTGGAGGATTAGACAGGATGAAAACGTGAGGTGTGATGGCTCCATCCAGCTCTTCTTGGAGAGAACTGGTGCAGAGGGAAAGAGCTAGAAAACCTAGGGATCCCAGGGAGCAGTGACCCCATCCCACAGGCAGAGGTTGTGAGGAAGAGCGAGAGTGAGAAGGAAGGGAATCTTTGGCCCTGGGGCTAGAGGCAGGGCTTAGGTCAGCTTGGAGATGCAGGCTTCTGAATCATACAGAGTAAAGGGACTTTTAAGGGTGCCTGTTTATAAGAAGGAAGGGAAAGAAAGGAAGATGATCTACCAGTACAGGAAACTTGAGGCAGGGAAGCAGAAAAGATACCATCTCATCTGGTGATGAACAGGCTTTGAAGATTAAGCCCCCAAGCGCAGCCGTGGACAGGAGAGAGGGACGAGTCAGACTGCCAGGCAGTGAACACAGTGTCAATGCAGAGACAGGGATACGGAGCAGATGTCTATGCAGTCCAGGATTCCTCCTTTAAAGGGGAGAAGAGGCTATCTCTGCTTGAGCCTGATGGTGTCCAGGAAAGCTTGGAGTGTGTTTTCAGTGGGAGGAAGAGAGCAGTGTGTTAATGGGGAGAAGAGAAAGGAGAGGAATGAACGCCTGAGACAGACTAGAGAAGCTTTTCAGAGAGTGGAGGAGTTGATTGCTAGAGTGAATTTGAGGCACACACAGTGGCCTTTGTATTGGAGAAGTGCCAGGGAGGGCTTGTGACGGAGGAGAGTGGGAAGCAACGTGAAGACAGTTTGCTGGCCTGTGTAATAAGATACGAGGGTAACCAGGACAATCACCTTCATAAGGAAGAGCTTTGGGGCACTGGTGTGGCAAGAGTGGTCAGAAAGTGATAGTTTAGAAGAGGAGCCATACTGGCTTTGTGTCCTGTGGTGTGCTGTAAGGGAAGTGGTACCCCTGGTGAGAATAAAACTTCCTTTTGGATGAAGCAGTGAGTGTGTGCGCGCGCACATGTGTGTACGTGTGTACTTGTGTGTGCATGCATACATGTGTGTGCGTGTGTGTCTGATTTATCCTTGCATGTAGTTCACCATCTTAGCCACTCAGTGCCATGAAAATGTCCCCATCATGATCCAGGAAGGAATCTTACTACTGTTATAAAAAATTAGCAAAATTGTTTCCCAGGATGACCTATGCAAATACTCAGCCGTGAGGCCAGCAGATGTATCAGCCTAGAGGTCTGAGTGCAAACAGTCAAGGAAGACCTCTGGCAAGCAGGTCATCTACCATGGCTTATAAACCAACCTCAGCTACTTGGGAAAATGTACTTGGGGTCATGAAGGAAGATGAGCTTGCTTTCTAAGAAAATAAAACATTTAGTTTGGAATAGTTTTAGATGTGCAGAAAGGCAGCACAGAGAGACCGAGTCTCAGGAGTCCTCAGCACCCCATGCATTTACCTCCCCCCTGACCTGTTGGCTGCGGTCACTCGTGCTGGGCACAGAGGACAACCAATACTGATGCACTGTATTCACCCAAACCCATTCTTTAGTCCCTTGTTTCCCCTAGTATTTGGTCTTGGTTCCAGGTCCCCAGGAGTTCCCCCAAAGTGATGTCTCCATAGATTTTTCCAGACTCTGTTTTTGAGTGACCTTGACGGCTTTGAGGAGCATCGGTCAGGTCCTTTGTGGGATGGCTCCCAATTAGAGTTTGTCTGATAGTTTTGATTAGACCAGGTCTGTGGGCTTTGAGGAAGGAGAACGTAGGGATACAGTGCTGTTCTTACTGCATCTTATTAAGGCTAGAACACGCAGTGTGGCCTTATTCTATGGCTGCTGATCCTCACCACCTGGTCGGTGTCGTATTGGTCGAGCTTCCTCTCTGTTAAGGTTGGTGCTTAACTCATCTTGAAAAACAGAAAGGTCACCCCATGGGTGTGAGAACTGTGAACGCCGGTTCTGAAATAGGAGGGTGATGCAGAATAGGAGGGGGCGATGGAGGTCGCCATCCCCAGGACTCGCTTTCTCAGAGTGTCCTCGGGGTCACCTGTGCTCCCACAAGCATCTAGGACGTATGTGCAACAGCCAATCCCCACCCCCTTTGAATGACTCTCATGCTGGAGTCAACAATACGTGCTTCAAGACCTCCCACCTGACTCAAGTTCAAGAACATCCACTTTAAGGCAGGAAAGCAGGGAAGTCAGATGTCTTCCCCAGGGCCAAATAAATGGTTACTCAGTTACTGGTAGAGCCAGACACAGAGCGCGGGATCGCTGAGTTTAAACGCACTAGAGTATAGCCCGGGTAGGAGTTCATCTCAGTCAGTAGTGACACAAGAAATCAGTCTGCTGGGGTTTTGGTTTGCACTGGGGCACTTGCCTTGCTCCTAATTTAGCCAACCGACTTTAAAGTTCCCATTTTTAATAACGATCTTGGTGTGCCTGGCTTCCTTCACTCTCCCCTAGCTCTGAGTTCCATCCATTTCTGTGACCCTTTCTTGGTTTCTTCTATCCTACCCTACAGAGTACTTTCATTTCATATGCATTATACCCACATCCGTGGAAACACACACACATGCACACATGTGATGGATGAAGGAGGCCTCTTTGGCCAGCTACAGCCATTCCTTACCTGTCATTCATACAGTATGCAACCCTGAAAACAAACCCGTTACTGCAGCACATGGGACTTAAACAGTGCCTGGTGCCGTGATTTCTGATTTGCCTTTACACAAACAACCTAATGGAAGTCGGGTGTGGGGATTCCTACCTGCGGTCCTAGCACTAATGGGCTGGGGTAGGACTGCCACAAATTCAAAACCGACCTGGGACTCAGAATGAGATCCTGTCTCTAACAAAACAACTGACTTAGGACCTGTTTCATTATTCTATTGGACAGGGAGAACCTGGGGACCCAGGGGACAAGGGAGCTGCTGGTTTTCCAGGTCCTCGGGGCCTACAGGTAAGTTAGCTTTCACTACCTTTAACCAGGTCTTTTTAACCTTTTATTTCAGTAGTGAATTAGTTACTTTCCTAAGAAGGAACAACAAAGTAAAAGTTTGTTTTGGCTTAGACATCAAGGGGTCTAGATCCATCATGACTGGGAAGGAAAATAGGCAATGGCCTGGGACCCTGGCCACATGACTTCTGTAATCAGGAAGCAGAGAATGAACAGGAAGTGGACTATAAAACCTTGAGGTCTCCTAATGGCTGACTTCCTCCAAGGCTCCACCCATGAAGATTCCACCACCAGCTGAGGTCCAAGTGTTCAAACACATGACCTCTAGAGGACAACATTCACTCACAGGACGAAGGTGCCTGTGCCATTTCTGAGGGATGCTCAGAGGAGCTTTAGAGACACTGTCTCGGTCTAGCCTTGGAGAGTCCTAGCTGTAACTGAGCCGGGCATCACAGTCATTTCGGATTGGCCAGCTTTTCCAAGGCAGCTTTTCTCAGGAGATGGTAAAGCAGAGTAAGCTTTCCATGTAGCATCCTCTCATGACCCCTTCTGACCTTTTGTCTGCAGGACCTCTTTATCAGAAGCCATTCCATCCTCCCCACATGGCCCAGGGCTTCTACAAGCATCAGACAGTAGTCAGTGTGCGGGTGGTTTGCAGTGTTTGTTCTGTTCGGTGACCTGGAAATAGATTCGAGCTGAAGTGTTAATGTACAGAACTCTCCAAAGAGTTGGCTAAGAAGGCTGCCTGGCTTTCTGGAAGATTCCGGGATGCCCAGAGTATTCTCTTGACATTCACAACTACACGAGTAGCTCTAATTGCTAAGTCTATGGTTCAGGAGCTTTTAGCACCATCTTTAGTGTCCCTGTCACCCACCAGCTAGAGGACCCTGCTGCCTAGTTGTCCCTGATTAAACCCAAAAATCTACCAGCCATGTCCTCCTGTAAATAAGCCCGCCTCTATTGCTACTCTGGGTGTGTTTGATTGGTTTCGTTGATTACAGGGTGATGATGGCAGCCCGGGATATGGGAGCATTGGCCGCAAAGGGACAAAGGTAAGTCACACCCACCGAAGCTGGACCTAGTCCATGCACTTCGGATTACTTGTTTGGCTTGCCATGGTTAGGAGAAAGAAAGCGATCTGTAATTAGTCTCATACCATAGAAAATCTATTTTGATAGTTCACTCTTTGACGTCCTGTGGGCAATATGGGAGAGAATCATGCCACGGTTCTAAGGGGAAGGTGAAAATTGAAAGTTGAAAATGAGTCCTCTGTGTTTTCCTGTGCTGTGTGGCTGTGGAACATGGCCTGGCATGTTCTGGCTCGAACTGCCTCTAGTCTTAGCAGTTCTGTGTGTAGTTTCACGCAGCAGCCAGTTCACATTTTGTCTTCCTACTGTTACGATTGCTTCAGCTACTAGCGAGAAATCTTGTAGCATTTTCTTAATGCATTTGCCCAAACAGTAACTTAAAAATGATTATATTGTTAACTGGATATGGAAATACCTGAAAAGAAGGAAGTTGACTAAAGACAGTGATTTTGATATGCTAATAATAACCTCTTTAAAATTATGATCATAAGTGGTTGGGAGGGTGGTTCACTAAGTAAAGCATGTGCCTTGCAAACATGAGTTCCTGACTTCAGTCCCTAGAACCCATGTAAACAGCTGATGTAGGGGACACCTGAAATCCCAGCGGTGATGGGAGCCAGAGACAGGTGGCCCCCTGGAGGTTGCTGGCCAGTTAGCCTTGCCTACTTGGTAAAGCTCAAGGCCAGCAAGAGACCCTACCTCAAAACAAAGGCATAAGGTACCTGAAGCCCACCCACCATCCGAGGTTCTTTCCCGTCCCTGTCTGCGTGCACCTACACACACGTGCATGCACAGACCCCCATACTTATGTGTGTCCACATGTAATCTTCATGAAAAATACCCAATTATTATTACAAAACACTCAGGAAATATAAAGATACCTTTTCTGGAACAAAAAAGTTAGAGATCCATGATAAAGATCTTAGAGATATGAAGTCTAAAATAGTAGATAGGATTAGTGCGCTCCAAGTGGAGTCCCAGGGGGATGATGCAATGATGTGGGATGTCTTTGCATATGTGCTGCTGCTGCTGATGATGTGGGATGTCCTCTGTGTATGTGCTGCTGATGATGTGGGATGTCCTTCTGTGTATGTGCTGATGATGTGGGATGTCCTTCTGTGTATGTGCTGATGATGTGGGATGTCCTTCCTTCTGTGTGTGTGCTGCTGCTGATGATATGGGATGTCCTTCTGTGTATGTCTGATGATGATGTGGGATGTCCTCCTTCTGTGTATGTCTGATTATGTGGGATGTCCTGTGTTTGTGCTGCTGGTGATATGGGATGTCCTTCTGTGTATGTCTGATGATGATGATGTGGGATGTCCTTCTGTGTATGTGCTGATGATGTGGGATGTCCTTCCTTCTGTGTGTGTGCTGCTGCTGATGATGTGGGATGTCCTTCTGTGTATGTCTGATGATGATGTGGGATGTCCTCCTTCTGTGTATGTCTGATGATGTGGGATGTCCTGTGTTTGTGCTGCTGGTGATGTGGGATGTCCTTCTGTGTATGTCTGATGATGATGATGTGGGATGTCCTTCTGTGTATGTGCTGATGATGTGGGATGTCCTGTGTTTGTGCTGCTGGTGATATGGGATGTCCTTCTGTGTATGTGCTGATGATGTGGGATGTCCTTCCTTCTATGTGTGTGCTGATGATGTGGAATGCCCTTCTGTATATGTGGTGCTGATGATGTGGAATGCCCTTCTGTGTATGTGCTGCTCTTATTGGTTAATGAATAAAACTGCTTTGACCTATGGCAGGGCAGAATATAGCAAGGCTGGCAGAGATATATAGAGACAATAAGCGAAGTCAGAGAAATGCCATACAGCTGCCAAAGGAGAAACAAAAGAGGGATCTCCACCCACAATCCAACATGGTGTTGGGAGGAGAAGCCACACTGCTAAAGATTTTTGAAAATTAAAACTCAAAATGAGAGATTTCAATAATGTTTGTTAGAATATAGAATAACTGAAAACAGTATCCCACAGAAAGGGAAACATTTAATAGCCTGTGACATTGAACATTAGACTCTATAAAATTAATACATATGAAGTTTATTATAAAAATGTGTGGACATGGAAGGGACAAATGGGCCTGCATATGTGAATGTGCAGACCAGAGGTTAGCAGGCGGTGGGGCTGGGTAGATCTTCCTATATACTATACTACCTTATTTTTTGAGACAGGGTCTCTCACTAAACATGGAGCTCTCTGATGGACTGGACTGACCATTAATTCCCCCAGGATTATCCTGTCTTTATCCACCAGTGCCAGGGTGCCAGAGTGCCAGGGATCAGATTCCCCTTCTTGCAGACTGAGCACTTTACCCACTGAGCCATCTTCCCAGACCTCTATTTAAAATTTGTACATAGAAACTTCAAGTAAAGGGTCACAGTATACTGAAAAGAACCCTCATGCTGAAAATGCATTTTTAAAAGCCAGAAGGAGCTAGAACAGGGATATATAACAACTCTGGGTAGGAAGACTCAGGTAGTTTTTCTTCTTTTTGCCTTTTGAATTTTACATGTGTAAGGATTTCTTTTACATCAGAATAAAAGGTTTATGTTTTTGTAGATTAGTGATAATTAGAAGTTGGAAGTGGGGAAGAAGATGGGAGGGGTGTTGATGTGTAAATTCCAGCCACTCTGGTACCACTGGCCATAACAGGTTTGTCAACAGCTTTAAAGCGCTAAAATAAAATTTAGAGGGTGAGAGATAGCCTTGTGTGTAAGAATGATTTCCATGGAAGCAAGAAGACCTAAGCTCAAATTTCTAGTACCCATGGAAATGCTGGTCATGGTTGTGATGCTTTTAACCCCAGCATGGCGGGGTGGGGTAGAGATAGCCAGAATCTGGAAGTTTTCTGGCCAGCCTAGCCAGTTTCAGTGAGGGACCCTGTCTCCAAACTAAGATGGCGAGAGTGACAGAGGAAGACACATGGTAACCTCCTCTGACCCTCCTGGCACACCCATGAGTGTGCACCCCTTCACACACACATGGACGTACAAAAGAGAAGCAACTTTATTTTAGGTAAAATACACAAATGAGGGTAGGAAGGCTTTTCAATGAGTCTTTGGTCAAAGTAAGGTAAGCGGGGGACCCTAAGCTGAATGGCATGGTTGGACTCCATTGACTTCCTAAACCTTTCCATTGAAACCCACTTGAGAGAGGTTACTCATCACTTGGAGACATGTGGCCAAGTGACCCCCTCTCCTGTCACATGGCCCTTGGAGAAGACTCAGGCTGTTTGTAATTCCCCAGATCACTCTCTCCTCAAATACTTTCTGCCTTTCCTCTTAGCCTTCCATCTTGCTTATGTGCCCATGAGTAGCCGGGTTTGGAAACTGGAACTGGTTTCTCTGATAGTGCTTCCTGGTTCCAGGAGGTCCAGCCCTTCCTTGGCGCACAGACATGTGAACAAAGAAGGTGGTAGAATTAAAGTCAATATAAACAAATCTACTTGGGCCAAGTGTGTATGTATTGACTTCCTATGTTGTTGATTGCAGGGGCAAGAAGGATTCCCTGGAGAAATTGGACCAAAGGTATGTGTACTTCACAGTCCAAGCCAGGGACTGTGTCTTAGGACAGTTAGTGAGAAATAATATTCTACCACAGGGTGAGGTAGCATAGGAAAGAGACAGGTTGCTCCCGTCAAGTTATAATATGAACTATTTGTTTAGGAACATAAGAACTTTTAAAATATTCCACTTCAAGTTTTTAAATGTATAGGTAAAGGGAGAAAGATGACCCTTTTGAAAGTTTTCTCAAATATTCTCCTTCCCTAATTTTCTTATTGCTTAAGCAGTGGTTCTCAACCTTTAAAACAGTTCCTCATGTCGTACTGAATGACCCCAACCATAAAATAATTTTCATTGTTATTCATAACTGTTAAGGATTGTAAATATCCCGAGTTTTCTAATGGTCTTAGGCCATCCCTGTGAAAGGGTCATTCAGTCCCCATAGGGTCAGGACACACAGGTTGAGAACCGCTGGCTTAAGGGGAAGTAAAATGTAGAGAAATAAACCAGATGATGAGATGTTGCCTGGCTTGAGTTTCCCCAGTGTGTTTATAAAATCTGCTGTCACGTGACGAGCCACCTTGATGTTTTCAGTATCTCTGGAAAGTTGTACTGAACTCCATAAATGTCAGGCCCTGTGTGCGGTAAGGTCAGTAAGGTCAGAAGACCAACAAAAGAAGCCCTTGGTTCTCCAAGGAGCCCGAGTTTGGGTCTGGAAGACTGAACTGTGAACCAGTGATCAGACGGTGTGCTGTGGAGAGATCACACAAGGCAAAATGTATATGGCTTTACATCTGAGTCAGTTTATACAAATATAGATGTGCCCCTGGGACCTTTGTGTTTGATTTCAATGTAATTCTTATTTTCATTTTGATATATTTATTCAGGGTGAGACTGGGGATCCTGGGGATCCAGGACAGGCTGGTCCCAAGGGAGCCAGAGGTAGAATGGTAAGCAATCCATTCAGAGGATAACATCAGATACTGTTGTGTTACGAGCGGCAGGGCTGCGTCCCTGGCAAGCGGCCGCCCGCATGGCTAGCTTTACCCGAAATAATTATACAGAAACTGTATTCTTGAAACACTGCCTGACCCATTAGTTTCAGTTTCTTATTGGCTAGCTCTTACATATTGATCTAACCCATTTCTATTAATCTGTGTAGCCCACGAGCTGGCTTACCAGGAAAGATCTTAACCTGCGTCTGTCTGGAGTGGGAGAATCATGGCGACTCCCTGACTCAGCTTCTTTCTCCCAGCATTCCGTTATGTTTACTCCGCCTACCTAAGGGCTGGCCTATCAAATGGGTCTAGGCAGTTTCTTTATTAATAAGAAATCACTCCCACATCATTTCCCCCTTTTCTGTTTAAACAAAAAAGAAAGGCTTTAACTTTAACATAGTAAAATTACATATAGCAAAACAGTTATCAAGCAAGAATTACAGTTACAATATTTATATCTATTTTATCTTTTATCATAACTAAGGAAAACAATAACTATCTATTCATTCTTCAACTCCATCAAAGACTCCAGAAGGATATAATACTACCTAAGTAAACAAGAAATAAGAAAACTCTAGAAATGACAGAGACATCTCACTGCCTGGACAGTCGCCCAAAGTTCCTTTGTACGGTTGGGGCATCCATCTTCAGCCTTCAGGCCCATAATATCCAGCAGACATTTCCATGAAGCAGGAAATTTCAAAGACAGTTCAGTCACTATCTGCTGTGTCCTGTAGAATGTCTCGCAGACTCTTTCATGAGTCATGAACCCCAAAAGACCGTCTCACCTTTAGGCAAGTTCAGTAGTCCTCTCTCTGTGGGTTCTCTTTGTCCAGTTTATGCAACAGTCCAGTCAAGAACAGTTTCTTGCCCAAATGGCTATCAAACTCCATAAGGATCCTCTTCGATGCCTATCTTCTTCTTGAAGTAGATTGGTGCTGCCAGGAGCAGAGTGTCTCATTGTCATGAAAAGTCCTAAGTTATTAAAACATTAAATGATATGAAGAATGTCTATCTAACTGAAATGTATCTCTATATATCTAGAAAATCTAACTAACATGACTACAAGCTTGACTATTACTGATGATTATCCATTAACCTATATTTCTTAATTATACATTACATTTTTTAATGAACTACACAATCACAATACCTTAATCAATATCAGAAATACATATACATATAACAAAATTGACCTTTAAATCCATACCAATGCAAATTATTCATACCTATATCATTTCCCCCTTTAAATGTAAAAGAACATTTATAAACAATATTTTGGGAACATGGGCACAGTTTTTTCTCTCCAAACTGCTTCCTGCTGAATGGGGGCGCTGTTAATCAGATCGTTTAGGGTGTAACCTGTGTGTCAGGTTCATCTCAGTTGGCAGTTGAGTGAAGTAATTTTGTGAAGATGTTCACAGCAACTTTTCGGGAGGTCGTGGTCTATCATACCAAATTGGGATAGAAGAAATCCACAGGGTCTGGTCCTCTGTGAAAACAAAAGAAGACCCTTTCCAAAGTATCATATCCTTAGACCCAAATTTTGAAATCGTAATACCTTTATATCCATTATGGTTTAGCTTGGCAGCCCATGTAATGAAATGTCTGTCTGTACTTAGCTCCTTTACAGTCAAAAATTTTAAAGAAAACACAATGTACATAATCCAGACTCTCTGTGAATTTTCCATTTTTACGTGGCTTATTTTTCTTTATTTCTTTTAATCTCTTAACTATCTGTACTCTGTCTCTTTAAAGACTTTACCCTTTTTTTTAAGACATTTGGTTTATTCTCTATATTCTTATTCTTCTCTCTCTCAAGCCTATGTACATTCATCCAACGCTGTGATCCACTGAGGTCTGTTATGTCTGAATCTGTTTTATTGTGAATCTGTAATATTTTTACTATCCAGGAGCATTTCTTAAAATGTTAAGCACTTCTTAAAAACTTAAGTTGCACCATGTACAGGTAATACGGTACCACCTGTGTCCTGCCCAGTCTAAACCTTAACTGTGCTGTTATTATGGTAATTACGGTAGTTCCTGCCAACCAGCACAGTTCAGCAAGGAGCAGCCGCTCCTGCCTCAGATCCATTTGGTGCCCCTGAGCTGTGCACAGTTCCAGGCACACAGCAAGTCCTCATTGGAGCCGCACTCAGTAGTTTAATTTTGAGACTGAGCATGCAGCACAGAAACTCTTTTTATCCAAGTTACAACCAAATCTGACACGCAGAGCACTGCGCAGTCTGAAAACACGTCTCTTTCACCATGCTCTTCCCCCTGCCTAAGCCTGATTCTGCCATCTGCCTAGGTGCAGGCGGGGAGCTCTGAGAGCACTCTCCTTCTGATCCCAAGCGGGAACACAAACATCCAGTCCCATAAAATCCATTGAAATGCTTTAAAGCCAGAGTTTGCACTGGTGGCACAGTCCCAAGAAGCCGCACTTTAAAATGACGCAGCTTTTTTTTTCTGTTGCTGTTGCCGAATCAGGAAATCTCTCTACAGCATGCCACCAACAAACAGCAAAAATCTGTGTTAAAGTCTCTCTCCCTTATTTTTAAGCCTTCTCAGGTTTTTAAGTGGATTTAGTCCATCACGTCGGGCGCCACTCTGTTGAAATACGGAGCGGCGGGGCTGCGTCCCCGGCACCTGGCCGCCCGCACGGCTAGCTTTACCCAAAATAATTACACGGAAACTGTATTCTTTTAAACACTGCCTGACCCATTAGTTTCAGTTTCTTATTGGCTAGCTTTTACATATTGATCTAACCCATTTCTATTAATCTGTGTAGCCCACGAGCTGGCTTACCAGGAAAGATCTTAACCTGCGTCTGTCTGGAGTGGGAGAATCATGGCGACTCCCTGACTCAGCTTCTTTCTCCCAGCATTCCGTTCTGTTTACTCCGCCTACCTAAGGGCTGGCCTATCAAATGGGTCTAGGCAGTTTCTTTATTAATAAGAAATCACTCCCACATCAAGATACTGTGTGTGGATGTTTGGGGCAGGGGGAGAGAGAGAGAGAGATTATGTTCATATGTATGATGAGAGGGTGTATATGCATACATGCCAGGTGCATATTCATGTATGTGTGCATATAGAGACCAGATATCAATGTTAGGTGTCTTTTTCAATTGTTTTTCATGTTTCTTTTAATATTTAAAAAATTATTCTAAGTATGTGAGTGTTTGCTTGCATGTATGTAAGCATACTCGTGCATGCCTGTTACCCACAGAGACCAGAAGTGGGCATCAGATCTCCTGGAACTAGAATTACATGCGGTTATGAGCTGCCAGGTGGGAGCTCAGGAGCCAATTCCAGGACTTAAGCAAGTGCTCTTCACTGCTGGGCCATCTCTCCATCCCCTCCATCTTATTGTTTAAGACGGGGTCTCTCACTGAACCTGATACTTACCAGCTCAGCTACACTTGTTGTATGACGAGCGGGCTGCGTCCTGCAACCCGGCTAGCTTAACTCTGAAGTAATCACATGGAAATTGTATTAATTAAATTACTGCCTGGCCCATAGTTCTAGCCTCTTAATGGCTAACTCTAACATCTTAATTCAACCCATTTCTAATAATCTGTATGTTACCACGATGTCGTGGCTTACCTGGAAAGATTCAGCATGTCTGACTCTGGCGACTCCATAGTGGCTCTCTCTGCCTGCCTTCTTTCTCCCAGCATCCAGTTCTGTCTTTCCCGCCTACCTAAGTTTCTGCCCTATCTAAAGGCAATGAAAGCAATACACCATACACTGAGTGGTCAGCAAGGCCCAGGGAAGGGAGCTTGCCTCTGCCTCCTGATTCTGGGGTTATAGGTACGCACCACTGTGGACGGCTCATATATGGTGTTAGGAGTTAAGTCCGGTCCTCATCTTGAACAGTGAGCACTTCATCAACTGAGCCATCTCTTCAGCCCTCAACTCCCGCTACTTTGGTAGATTCTCTTTCATGTTAATAGTCGTTAGCATTGCTATTCTTAAAACAAAAACAAAACAAATTTGAAAATGTGTGCAATTTTGGCTAAGGTCTACATGTGTAATAAAAAGTAGACCTGGCACTTCTCTCCCAATGCCACCAGGAAGGCAACGAACTGTTTTAGTGAACAAATTTGTCCAGTCTGTGGTCCGTGTATCATTCTTAACCACGGAAAGTAAGACGTTTTAAAGGAATTTCTGTGATCCAAAGTAGGTTCTTGTACTGAAAAAAATATCAGTTTAATCCAGTCTTCCTGGCAGACCTGATGAAGACTAATGCCCATTAACATCTTGCTTTTATTATCAAAGCTTTTGTTGAACTGCTTTTAATGCGGTGTCTATTAAAAGGTCCTCTCCTCGTTTCCCGGGTGTTTTCTGAGTTTTACGATATTTCTGGGTGTCAAACCAAACATGTCTTTATAAGTTTATGGGAGAGTTGAATATTACCTAATACTCTGACAGTAAACACAACCTCTGGCATGGGCCACAGGAGTCAGTCTCCTCAGGTTATAGATGGTTAGAAACGGAGGTGGTAGCACGTGCCTTTCATCAGTATTAGGAAGACACAGACAGAAGGACCTCAAGCTCAAGGCTCTCCTGGGCTAGATAAAAGTGAGACCCCAGCCCTCTGACACCCCTATATCCAAACAGGCTGGAAAGTAATATTGAGTTGGAAGTGTCACCCCAGCCTGGCAAGCACTTGGACTCCAACTCCCAGCCTGCCAAGTGGTGACCCCTCCCCAGGGATGGTCAGGATCATTCCCACAGGGTATTTAGGCTTGCGCTGAAAAAAAGGAACACATGATTTGGGGTTTGCGTGTGCAGCTCCCTCTGTCTTCCCCTGCCATGCTCCAGGCCACCTGGGAATATGCCATTTATTAAACACAAGCATTTAATTTGGTCTAATCTGATTTAATTGGAGTTTTTTGTGTTGGCGGAGCACCTCGTATTTTTGTTAACTCCCGTGTCTCCAGAGAA